CGGAGCCCCGGGGGTGGATGAGATTCGTCCTGGATATCTCAAGGCTCTGGATGTTGTAGGGCTGTCCTGGCTGACACGCCTCTGCAACATTGCGTGGACATCGGGGGCAGTGCCTCTGGAGTGGCAGACCGGGGTGGTGGTCCCCATTTTCAAGAAAGGGGACCAGAGGGTGTGTTCCAACTACAGGGGGATCACACTCCTCAGCCTACCCGGTAAGGTCTACTCCAGGGTGCTGGAGAAGAGGGTCCGGTCGATAGTTGAACCTCAGATTGAGGAGGAGCAATGTGGTTTTCGTCCCGGACGCGGAACCGTGGACCAGCTCTTTACCCTCGCCAGGGTGCTGGAGGGGGCATGGGAGTTTGCCCAACCAGTCCACATGTGTTTTGTGGATTTGGAGAAGGCTTACGACCGTGTCCCCAGGGGCATCCTGTGGGGGGTGCTCCGGGAGTATGGGGTTGGTGGCCCCTTGCTAAGGGCCATCCAGTCCCTGTACCGAAGGAGCATGAGTCTGGTTCGCGTGGCTGGCAGTAAGTCGGACCTGTTCCCAGTGAGGGTTGGACTCCGCCAGGGCTGCCCTTTGTCACCGGTTCTGTTCATAACTTTTATGGACAGAATTTCTAGGCGCAGCCGAGTGGTGGAGGGTGTCAGGTTCGGTGACGGGAGGATCTCGTCCCTGCTTTTTGCGGATGACGTGGTCCTCCTAGCTCCATCGAACAGTGACCTCCAGCTCTCGCTGGGGCGGTTCGCAGCCGAGTGTGAAGCGGCTGGGATGAGAATCAGCACCTCCAAGTCTGAGGCCATGGTCCTCAGCCGGAAAAGGGTGGATTGCCCACTCCAGGTCAGGGGGGAGGTCCTTCCTCAGGTGGAGGAGTTTAAGTATCTCGGGATCTTGTTCACGAGTGAGGGTAGGATGGAGCGGGAGATTGACAGGCGGATTGGGGCGGCGTCAGCAGTGATGCAGGCGCTTAACCGGTCCGTTGTGGTGAAGAGGGAGCTTAGCCAGAAAGCGAAGCTCTCAATTTACCGGTCGATCTACGTTCCAACCCTCACCTATGGTCACGAGCTCTGGGTAGTGACCGAAAGAATGAGATCGCGAGTACAAGCGGCCGAAATGAGTTTCCTCCGCAGGGTGGCTGGGCTCAGCCTTAGGGATAGGGTGAGGAGCTCAGACATCCGGGAGGGACTCGGAGTAGAGCCGCTGCTCCTCCACATCGAGAGGAGCCAGTTGAGGTGGTTCGGGCATCTGGTAAGGATGCCTTCCGGACGCCTCCCTTGGGAGGTGTTTCAGGCATGTCCAACCGGGAGGAGACCTCGGGGCCGCCCCAGAACACGCTGGAGGGACTACATCACCCGGCTGGCCTGGGAACGCCTCGGGGTTCCCGCGGAAGAGCTGACAGAAGTGGCAGGGGAGAGGACTGTCTGGGCTTCTTTGCTGAGGCTGCTGCCCCCGCGACCCGGACCCGGATAAGCGGAGGACGACGACGACGACGACTGCACAGTGATTTAGCGTTAGCCAGCTCACATAATTGCACAAGGATTCAAGGGGTATCAGTTATCCTATCATTAATGTTCTGTAAACTAAATGGGTTTTTACGAATTGACCAATCTTATGCTGGTCAATCGATCTTATCTTTGCTAATAATATGTTGGATTCATGTTAATGTGTATTTAAATTAAAACTTTAATTCAGTTATCAAGAGGTAATTTGGCAGCCCCCCTGCAGTAACTCAGTCATGGACCCCCTGTCGAAGCCCCATGCTCTAGAGAGTATTTATAGCAGCAGGATGTCGAATGTGGGATTGACTTAGAATAAACTACTAAATCAGTCTCGCATCATAATGAAGGAATGTGTCCCCCAGTGCAGCGCTGCAGCTCATTGATGTCTTTTTATTAGTTATTTTTTTGACAACAGTGAAGCTTTGTGGTGCAGAGGAATTAAATACATCAAGCTTTGGCCAAACAGAAGAATCAATTCATTACTGGTTTTCGGCCAATAACAAAAACACAGAAAATTGACAGCCTTACCCTTTAACTATGGTGGAGTTGTTTCTCAGCTCAGATAAGTTCTGAAGTTTAATCAATCAGTCGAAAAATATGATAAAGATCTGAAGCAAGTTTAAAAGTACTTTTGGGTCTATACTCCAGACACATTAGTAAATCTCCCTGATTTCCTTAATAAGACTATCAAATTATTTGATGTATCCTGTCTGGATCCTAAATTAATTAATTCCCTAATTTTCACGCCCTATTGGGAGCTTTGATAGATATGCTTTTACAAACTCTTCACAAGGCAGTATGAATATAAATGTGCAACAGGATTGTGGATGACAGAAGTTCAGTTTTTGTAACCAGAGCCTGTGTAAACCAATTGAGAAAACACTGACTACAGAGAACAAGAATGTCTGTTCTCTGTCTGCTCACCATGTAAATGTCACAGCTTAGTTACTTGAGCTCTTACTTCTGATGGGGATGCTTTGCTCTCTTTAGAGTGGACTGTACTACCACTTATACTTTTGATTTTGTTTGATTTTCCAGCAGATGTCTTAGTTACAACATGATTGAGCTAACTGGAGTAATTTCATGTCGTATCCGACAACAGGAAGCTTTTAACAGATGACGTCCTGATGTTAGCTTTGCTGCTGCTGTTAGGCTGTTAGCTGTCCCTGTCAGCTGCAGCCACTGATGCTTTCTAGACATCGTGATTTCCCAAAACTGAATAAATACCACACATAGCAAAATTGTGCTATGCTAGCTCAATCATGTTGTAACTAAGATATCCGCTGGAAAAAATATTTTTTTCACGGACCGTTTATTGAGTTACTGAGTTACTACCGGTTACTACAGACACTGCTAACGGGGCTAACAGCTAACGGTTAGCCCAGCTAATCTACGATAACCATGTTATTAATTACAACGTGCACACAGAAATAGTTTGTTCATTAGTGTTTATAGACTTTACAAACATCAGATTAGTCTAAACGGTGATATAGTGACGTGAAAAATGTGATATACAGTACAGGCCAAAAGTTTGGACACACCTTCTCATTCAATGCGTTTTCTTTATTTTCATGACTATTTACATTGTAGATTCTCACTGAAGGCATCAAAACTATGAATGAACACATGTGGAGTTATGTACTTAACAAAAAAAGGTGAAATAACTGAAAACATGTTTTATATTCTAGTTTCTTCAAAATAGCCACCCTTTGCTCTGATTACTGCTTTGCACACTCTTGGCATTCTCTCCATGAGCTTCAAGAGGTAGTCACCTGAAATGGTTTTCCAACAGTCTTGAAGGAGTTCCCAGAGGTGTTTAGCACTTGTTGGCCCCTTTGCCTTCACTCTGCGGTCCAGCTCACCCCAGACCATCTCGATTGGGTTCAGGTCCGGTGACTGTGGAGGCCAGGTCATCTGCCACAGCACTCCATCACTCTCCTTCTTGGTCAAATAGCCCTTACACAGCCTGGAGGTGTGTTTGGGGTCATTGTCCTGTTGAAAAATAAATGATCGTCCAACTAAACGCAAACCGGATGGGATGGCATGTCGCTGCAGGATGCTGTGGTAGCCATGCTGGTTCAGTGTGCCTTCAATTTTGAATAAATCCCCAACAGTGTCACCAGCAAAACACCCCCACACCATCACACCTCCTCCTCCATGCTTCACAGTGGGAACCAGGCATGTGGAATCCATCCGTTCACCTTTTCTGCGTCTCACAAAGACACGGCGGTTGGAACCAAAGATCTCAAATTTGGACTCATCAGACCAAAGCACAGATTTCCACTGGTTTAATGTCCATTCCTTGTGTTTCTTAGCCCAAACAAATCTCTTCTGCTTGTTGCCTCTCCTTAGCAGTGGTTTCCTAGCAGCTATTTGACCATGAAGGCCTGATTGGCGCAGTCTCCTCTTAACAGTTGTTCTAGAGATGGGTCTGCTGCTAGAACTCTGTGTGGCATTCATCTGGTCTCTGATCTGAGCTGCTGTTAACTTGCCATTTCTGAGGCTGGTGACTCGGATGAACTTATCCTCAGAAGCAGAGGTGACTCTTGGTCTTCCTTTCCTGGGTTGGTCCTCATGTGTGCCAGTTTCGTTGTAGCGCTTGATGGTTTTTGCGACTCCACTTGGGGACACATTTAAAGTTTTTGCAATTTTCCGGACTGACTGACCTTCATTTCTTAAAGTAATGATGGCCACTCGTTTTTCTTTAGTTAGCTGATTGGTTCTTGCCATAATATGAATTTTAACAGTTGTCCAATAGGGCTGTCGGCTGTGTATTAACCTGACTTCTGCACAACACAACTGATGGTCCCAACCCCATTGATAAAGCAAGAAATTCCACTAATTAACCCTGATAAGGCACACCTGTGAAGTGGAAACCATTTCAGGTGACTACCTCTTGAAGCTCATGGAGAGAATGCCAAGAGTGTGCAAAGCAGTAATCAGAGCAAAGGGTGGCTATTTTGAAGAAACTAGAATATAAAACATGTTTTCAGTTATTTCACCTTTTTTTGTTAAGTACATAACTCCACATGTGTTCGTTCATAGTTTTGATGCCTTCAGTGAGAATCTACAATGTAAATAGTCATGAACATAAAGAAAACGCATTGAATGAGAAGGTGTGTCCAAACTTTTGGCCTGTACTGTATATATATATATATATGTGTGTATATATATATATATATATATATATATATCTGCTGGTTTTCTACCTGGAAGTATTTGTAAACAACAAGGCAATTCCCTGGGGGCACCGCCGGAAGTGAAGGGGTTGAGCGATCCCCGAGGCCCCTGCACTTCTGTTAGTCGAAAAACTACGGGCAGTGCCTCCAGAGGTAAAGGAAGAAAAAACAAAATCCTTTTGTTTTTTTTGTTTTTTTCTTATTAACCGATGGATTTCCAGATTGGTTACCAGGTTACTCTCTGATTGTAAATAGTCACTTTAAATTAAAGAAGTAGTGTGTGGGATTTAGTGGCATCTAGTGGTGAGGGCTGCAGATGGCAACCAGTGGAAAATTCTCCCATGTGCCAAGCTTGAACTCCAGGTTAGGATTCCTGTTCATCGTTCAGGAGGTTTTTAGCGGGAGAAAAATTATCCGCAGAGGTCTCTTCCTATCCTATTAAAACACTGAATAAAGCAGTTTCATGTTACAAATCAAGTTTTTGTGAAAATGTGGATGGCCCTATCTAGAGCCAGTATTTGGTTTGTCCGTTCTGGGCTACCGTAGAAACGTGCCGGTGTTACATGGCAGACTCCACGAACGAGGACCTGCTCCTTTTGTAGATATAAACGGCTCATTCTAAAGTAACAAAAATACAAAAATTCTTATTTGATTTTACACTAAAGAAAACATACTTATTACGTATTATTCCATTTCTGCCAATATATCCACCTAAATCCCACACACTGCACCTTTAAAATACCTTAGAAATGAGATAATAACTAGAGCACTGACAGATGAATAGCATAAAACATTCAACTCACGCAAGTAGATGTCACCCCGAAACTTCCCCAGTTGATTATTTACATTAAGACATTTATTTTTGTATTACAGTTTTCTTGAAATGCTACGTTTAAATGTGCAGATTTGGATTTTCCAGAGCAGAAATCCGACCATTGGATAAAGCCAGGTTCAAATTTCTTGTTTCAGGTTTTTTTCAGCTTCTATATGTGAACTAAAATAAACACTTTAATGTGTATTTCAGAGATTTTCTTTCCACTAGTATGACAGAAGACATGTCGTGGAAGCCAAATAGCCCAAAATCGACCAGTGCATGAAAGAACTGTTTTCACCTTAAGTGTCTCCGCTTATGATCAAGTAACTGTGTGATGGGCATACACCTGTATGCACCACTGATGTAATACCTGCCTTGAATTAAATATAACCCTGTCCTGTTTGTGCAAGGGATCAAACCAAAAAGTCTTTTGGTTCATAATTAGCTTCTCTTCCTTCAGGCCAAACTCCAGCACCTGCTTACAAACTTTGTACTTTCATAGTTCAGATATATTTTTGCTGTGGACTGCAGCAATTGAGGCATTACACTGCCTCGGCTTACAGCGCAAAAAGTAAGACTCTTATTATAATGCTAGCTTGAGGGATTGTTCTCACACAAAGCTTTTCCTCTTATTTTGTAGGGTTCTATCAATGGTGGACACCTGGTGTCTTGGTAAGACAGCACACTCAACACACACATACAAACATAAATCCATAGAGATGCAACACACACAGGTAAACAGACACACACAACACAGGCAGTGTGGATGTCATAAATAACGAAACCTTGGCTTATAATGGAGCTCAAAACTGTGCGCAAGTGTGTTTGGGTTTGTGTGTTTGTGTGTTCTTCTGAGGTCACATTCTTCATGCCCACTGGAGAATTCAGCTAAACACAACCACCACACTAATTTATCTTGGAGGGAGGTAGAGGGGAAATAAAGGGATGGGGAGGAAGAAAGAAAGAAGTGGGAGAAAAATAGAGTGAAGGGAAATTTAAGAGTCGAGCTGAAGAATGCTACAATTATATAACAGTGGGGGATTTTGTTACCTCCTTCACCTCTCTCCCTTTTTCTCTTTCTGTCTGTCTGTCTCTCATGACTACAGCGCAGATGTTTTGTGTCAGCCACAACACGGGACCTTCCCCTACCTCAGTTAATTCATATGGATGATCTCATACACCCACAGCCTCCCTCAAATTCACTTGGAAAACACACACTCTCTGCATTTTGATAACTTTCCCTGCATACACAGATGATAGAACTAATGTGAGAAGCTGCCACACTAATTTCCTATAATATATCAATATAGCATCACTGTTTCCAAGCCTAGTGAGACGCCTGGATCATTTTCTTGTTCTGCTGTTAACAATAACTATAAAGATCTCACGTGCCCCAAGAGTCCAATGCAACGTTTACATTACATGGCTTAATGCTCAATTCCGATTATTTCCCCCAGATCTCATCTTACTGCTGAGACTGTTTACATTCATGTTAGAAGTTACCCGTATCTGACAACAGTGTGAACGGATCTCTGCCCTGAAACGCTTCATGTGAAACCAATAACATCACACGCATGTGTGTTGGAACGACAACAAAAAGCATCACATTTGCGGAAAAATCGAATAAGCAGTGCAAACGTTCATCTCCCAAATGATGGCCAGGAAGATCTGATGACATCATTCTGTATAATAATTAGCCATGTGTGATTGTTTGGAGGAGTGTACAGCGTATTTTCGGAGAAATGCCCTTCAGAGCAATGGTTATTGTTTTCTGGATAACAGGCTGTAGTGCAAATGGGCTTTGGAGCCAGGAGAGGTGCCCGGAGTGGTCAGGCCACGATGTAGAGTGTTTCACAGAGGGACACTTCCTCCAAAACTTTAGGATGTCTAAGACTACATTCCAATATCTCTGTCAAAGCCTCATGACAATGTTGTCCCCATCAGAAAGCATATGGCAGTCGGATATTGACTGGCGACAGGGACAGCCTGCCACAGCAGCGGTACGGCTACGGCAGCCTTTTGTGTTTCAGCAGACCTCTCCGTTACTGTATGGTGAATGATCTGTGCCTGCACAGACGTGGACAAACCAGATTTATTTATGGGAAAAACCCACAGGAAATCCAATATGACCATTCTCACAGTGGTCACAGTGGTCACAGTGGTCACAAGGACAGTGATCCAGTATGTATCAGATTTAGGGCCACGTATGATAGTCACCCAGAGTTGATTGGTAAAAAAATTTGATTTTTGTGTCCGCAAAAAAAAAAAAAAAAAAAAATTGGACTTGGGTCAATTTCATCAGGTACAAATAGTTATGTTTAATGTATTATTACATTTTGCACAAAACCATAAAAGTCAACCTCATGCGGGCACCAAAGGAGAAGTTGGGGGATCATCAAAATTAGTAGGATATATTGTCTGGGAACCATGAATGTCTGAACCAAATTTTGTGCCAATCCATCCAGTAGCTGTTGAGATATTTCACCTCCTGATGGCTATATATAGATAGCCAGATATAAGAGTCAGAGGATCACCAAAGTCACTTGGATTCGTCCTCAGTGCACCATGGCTATCTGGACCAAATATCATAGCAATCCATCTCATAGTTGTTAGAATATTTCAGGACCAAAGTGATGCCTGAGTGACAGCCATCCCTAGAGCCATGCTACTAGCATGGCCAGAACTGCCCATCACAATGTCCAAAAGCCCAGACTGACATCTTAAAATGGCTCGATGTGATCGACCAAGGGTGCAAAACCAAAAAGATTCCATTGACAAGAATCTAAAATAGAGAAAACCAAGCAAATCCTCATATTTGAGTTGCTGGAACCAGGAAATACCTTGATAAATTACATAGAAAATGAATTAATTGATCTACTAAGTTATTCAATAGCACTTCAAGTTTGATTAATGAGACCACCTTGTAACTGAGAGGTCACATGGTCAATACATGTGAAGAGCCAGTGTGTCCATTAAAAGACAGAGAGGCAAAAAGCACTGAACTTGTACCTGCTTGCTCAGAATAAGGACCTCAGCTAATTGTCTAAAATATTTAAATTTAAAACAGTTGATAACTTTGAACTTCTAACAGGCATACAGCCAATCTGGCAGCGCAGCCTGTCAGCTAGCTCTGCCCTGTGAGTGCTATTTATATCTGTAACACATTACACTGTAGCATCAAAAAGCCATCTTCTTGCATGCGTGTGAAAGTGATCAAAAGATGGTGTGTGTTTGTGTATGGAAGTGTGCAATAATTTATCTCAAGTGACCAAGTTAGAGCGTGGTCCACTTTTGTGTGGCTGATGTAAAAAAACTGCAGCGCACACACACACACACACACACACACACACACACACACGCACACACGGAAGACACAGCAGGATTGCAGCCATAGCCCCAAAGCTTTGGGATGTATTTTTAAAGCGAAAACCCACCCCAAAAGAATCCATTAATGTGTAAGCTTCAGTCTTCTTTTTTTTTTTTTTTATTAAAGCCATAAACAAGTCAGAGTTTGAGTTTCTTTCATTCCCACTGTTGGCCTCTTTAATGATGTTACTGCACTGACACACCTGAGGCCACCTGTAGTGCTCAGCCGAGCGTAGATGCAGCATCAAAGGGTTCTTCAAACGTCTCTTTTATGTGCAACTTTCAACTGTTGCCTGGTCTCTTCCAGATAAGAAGCTGGTGCCACTTTTCCAGGAGGAGGACCATCAACAGAGGGCGCTCATAGGGCTGGTGAGAGAGCGAGAGAGAGACACACACACACACACACACACACACAAACGCATTCACTGCTAGAAGTATCTTCTTTCATGGTTTGGGCCAGACGCTGAGTTCTGATAAAGGGGAAAATCATAATGTGAGGAAAAATATGCTTTCAGTTTTCTCAAGGGAAGACACTCTCCAACATGAGATTGACCTCAAAGCTAGGGGTTGCTAGAAATCTGGAAAAAAGAAAAAAACATCAGAATTTGAAAATACACCCTCCTTCCTTCAGCTCTCCCCTCTCTGTCCTAAGCCCCTCCCAGCAGACACACATTGACTCAGCCCTGCCTTGCTTTGCTCTCGCTCTCTGTTTATCAGACCACAAATAAGACAATGATTTTCTAGCTAGCCACCCCACTGTCCCTCTACCTCGCTCCCCGCCGCTGTTGACTGCTTTGCTTGGAGGAGAGCAGGCAGCAGCTCTTCGGTAGGTGGCTGTAGTGGCTCGTCAAACGTCCCAGCACTGGTTGCCACAGTGGGTTAGTGGCGTGTGGCAATGCTGGGTCTAGCCTGTGTAACAGCAGCAACAGAAAGTTTGCCAATCTGGTGGGGAGTCGGGGCTGTCCAGTCCACAGAGCTGGGGCTGGACTCGGGTCGCTGCAACCGCTGACTGGGGGTTTGTCTCTGGAGCTGCTACCTAATATCCTCCCAGCAAAGTGTTCTGTGATTCGAGGCTCTAGCTAACGTTAGCTACATAAACGTGGACTTGAAGCCGCAGTAGCTATGGTTAACAGAAGGCTAAATGGTCAGAACAAACGAACATTTTCTCTCCATCTCTCAAACTTCGCACAGATATTGATGCGTGTTTTCTTTTGTTTATTGTCAGACTCTTGTTTAGATTCTAAGCCAGTCTTCCTTTTTTGAGTTGCTTTGCAGTGTAGGCAATTTTTGCGAATGCTGGAATAGCAACTTTTAGGCTTTTTGGTGTTATTAAGTGCAAAGTTGGACGTGTCAAAACTTTTAGGAAAATATTATCCCAATATACTAAATATAGTAACATTTAATCTCTCCTGTAGAGGATTTATTTCTATACCATTATCTAATACACATGCATACGACAATGCATACGACTGTATGGCTTTTGTGTTCTCAGCCTCCTTAAAGGTAGAACAGCTCTTCTCAGGAGGTGATTATGTCCTCTACTGCTTGGGTGCCCACACACCTTTGGCCACAATGTACCACTCAAAACATTTCGAAAGGATTTTTGTTTTAACTTGAAGTTTTTGAAAAGCCTCACTTGTGAAATGCAGTCAGCCAAATGAATCATTCAGTTAATGGACCGGTCATTCAGTCAGTCATGACAAAACATGCAGAGATTCAAAAGCAAGAAAGTTCTGTAACTTTCCAAAAAGACTGTTATAACTATACTGCCACTCAAAATCAAAGGAGCGGGAGCAGAATAGGAAAAAAATGAAACATTCAGCCGGGATTGTTGCTTTTGAGATAGAACACCTACCTTGACTTTCTTTTTCTTTTAGTTTGAATAATTGGGCGCAATGCACCATGTGTGTATTTTCTCCCTGTAGTAGACGAGGCAAAGTGAAAACGCGGGTGCATAGTGAAGCACTTCATTGTAATATCCCGCCTTAGATGTACGGAACATTGCAGATTGTTGACACACAACAGTTTAACAGCTCCTGGAGGTGGATTCTTCCACCATGAGTTGATATATAGACCACTAAAGATCTATAGTGAAATGCTGACAGACGGTCGTTTCCCTCCATAGTCATCTTTTAAGGTGAAACTCCTGTTACACTTCAGATGAGTCGACACTTTAAAAAAGGGCATCTTAAGGTCCCTGTCCTGCGTTTCTTTTTTTTTTTAAAACTGTGCTCTGTTTGATGGACAATTTCATATCCTCCAGTTTTCCCTGTGCTCAGCATAGTTTTTAAAGAGGAGATAGCTTCAATTTAATGGAGTTCAGGCTCAATGCTAGCAGTCTCTCAGCTATTCTTAGAATGACCCAGTCCTCCTGTCTTCCTCTCTTTACTCCCTCCATCACTCTTACCCCTTCCTTTTCCCTCCACTCGCTTCCTTCCCTTTCCTCCTTGTTCCCTTTTCCTCCCCGAAGAATATCAGGTCATACCGTCAACTGTTTTTAGACCTTCGCTCAACTTCTGTACTTTTCCACCTCTCACATCCACAGGTCTCTTCTCTTCTCTCCCCCTCCATGGTTAAATCAATTTTGGGACACTGTAGTCGAGGGAAAAGTCGAGGCTGAACTCAATTTGACCCCGCTGAGTGCACAGCAAAGTATTCTTAAAACACACAAACACAAAGTTTAACTCTGAGCTACACACACACACACACACACACACACACACACACACACACACACACCCCCTCACTGAGGCATGCATGCACAGGAAATAATCAGTGTGTGTGTGTTTTCTTGGCATCGCAGACGGTTGACAAGCTTCGAGAGCATCTCAACAGACACTTGCCTCGACTGGGGAAGAAGAAGATTGACTCGCTGGTCGTCAACTACGTCGCCAAACTGGTTGGTACACCGTGTGTGTGTGTGAGTGCATAAGTGAAGTTTTGGAGGGGGACACTGGAAATATGTCCCCACACCTCCCCAATAAAAACAATAAAGCAGTAGAGGACTTTTGACATATTAAAAGACGTTTAAAGGCACAAAGTCCCCATATTTCGTGTGTCCCCCTCCATTTTTGAAACGAAACCTACGCCCTTGTGTGTGTTTCTGTGTTGGTCAGGCATAAAGAGAGGTCCAGGAGCTGTGTATACTCCAGTGAACCCTTTCCGAAAAAAAAAAAAAAGATTTAAAAGGTACATCGTTCTTCGAGTTATGTTTATTTAATGCCTGCCCTTACTCTTTTTCGGGAAGGTTAAGTGACACTCGCAGCGAGGATCGCTCGGTGGAAAAGGCAGCGAGTTTTCCACTTTAGTTAAATGGTTTGACAGAGCTCACAGATGGATGTGTGCTCTTCGGATTAGAGAGGTTGCCGGGAGCCATCGGGCCGCCGCTTTGGTCCTTTAAAACAAACATCAGCTCTCTGGTTAAGACATGAATCCTCGACCACTCTGACTTTTTGTGGCGACACAAAATGTATCCTTTAACAATACAAAAGCATTTAAATGTGTATAAGCGTGCATAGATATCGCCTCTAAAACAAAACCTACGCCCTTTCTATCCACTCACAGAGCAGCAGGTGGGATCTGCATAACCAAGTGGAGAGACGTAGCCACTCTCTGTCTCAGTAACCTATAGAGGTACTTGGTTCTGTAAAGTCAGTCTTTAGTATTCCTGGGTGGTAAATGCCTTCACAGCTTGGAGCCGCTGAAAGCAGACATACAGCATATATCAACACAACAGTATTAAATCAGGCCAAGGGTAAGGCTGGAATTGAATAGAAAGCAGGAAGCACCACGTTTTGGGACTTTATGGAATTGCAAATGACAGACTAAAAGAGACCCAACAAAATCCTTGCCACTCTCAGCTGGATCGGTCGATTGGCTCAGCTCGGCACGACAGGCTCACGGAGTTTTAACCTGCGCCTCCAGACTTCAAATGAAACTAATGGAAATGGGCGTGCCTGTAATCGTTTTGGCGTCTTCCCTGTGACAGACAAACGTGGTTGTTATTGAATTTATTCAGTGGAGTGAAAGTGAAAAAGTTTCTCATCCTGGGAGCCGGGGCTTATTAAAACACACTCACGAAAAGGACCCATAAGAAACACCCTTCGGGGACGTTTTACTTAAAGAACAGTCGGGCTGCTCAACGGCCGGGCGATGTGCTTACACATCAAGCTGACTCATGCTTTGAAAACTCAGGGAGGTACTGTTTCAGTGAGGGCTGACTTCCCCTCCGCAAATAAAGAACATCTCCCCCTCTTGTCGGTGCTTATTGAGACTAATGGCTGCATTGACACAGGGGAGAAGTTGGGGGTGAAATAGATTACAGCTTTTAAGAGCCAGGGAACGTCTGTTATGATAGATTACAACTCCACAGCACATTATTGTCATAGTTATTTATTTCCTGTTCCCGTTGCCACAGACAACCGAGATACATTCCTTTTTATAACATAACCAATGTCAGCGCAAAGAACAACCCGCTAATAGCTGAATATGAATTACGAAAAGTAATGGAATTGAAATAGGCTGCAGTATTTTTTAATTATGCAGAAAAGTTATTCTACTGTATACCCAAGGTTATTAAACTTTTTTTTTTCCTCAGCAGGGGAGCCACACTGAGTAAATCCAGTCTCTTTGTCGGGCCGAGGCTCATTAAGACAAACGCTGATTCCAGATTTTATTCTTATAGAAAGTCACACAGGGGATACTGTGTGCGAGTCTGTGGCTTTAAATCACTTGTTTTCTTTTTGTTTGACTTTTTTTTTTTTTTTTTTTTCGCAGCACAAAAACATCTCTGCTACATATTTCTTATTCTTTTTACTGATCTTCAGGGGCCTGGATTACATCAGCAGCGAGCACAAGAGGTGTTAGTTTGAAAAGGAACTTGAATAATTTACTTTGCTTGACAAGTTGCCACCTTTTTGTCAAACAATGAATATGTGATGACAGAGAATAAGTGTTGAAGTGCATCAAACATTCAGTTGATGCTGTTAACAGAGTAGTGGAGGAATTGTTTGGTAAATAGTAGCTGTTTTTGACTTTTAGAGCCCCATCTCACACCCACAGCACAGTTTCAAACCAACATAGTTCTCATTTTCACAGCCAGCGTCCATGTTCTGAAGTAGCAAATGTACTTGGACTAGGGCTGCCTCTGACTAAGAATTTTCCTAGCTACCAATAGTGATCATTTAGAGCCATTAGTCGGCTAGTCGCCTGCATGTTTACGATATTAATGTAATGATTAAATGATATATTTTGGTGGTTTGAGTTGAAGGTGTGAGAAAGAATAGTATCAGTAACATTGTTGACACTGTGCTACATTACAGAGAAATACAAAACCGTACTAATGAACCTTCATTAATATAGGCCTATATTTTATCTACAAGTGCACGTCACACACTGAGCGAGCCGCCTGTTAATGACGCTGTCGGCAAAGCAGTAATGATTGTGCTAAGTGGCTAATGGGCATGTAGCTACTTCCGTGTTTCAGATTATACATCATGTTTGTAGTCGACCAATGAAGATGAGTTTACATATCACCTTGGGTTTGTCCTTCACCTTCTCAAAATGATCCCACACTTTGGATTTCCTGCCCGACATGTTATTAACTAGCCCGTGGAATAACCACAGGTACCAGCCCTGGAAATTAACCTGACTCCTGTCTGACTGCTGAGCATGGACACTTCCTGTGTCTGTCCTTTCGAATTAAATTCCCACATGGTCCAGTCAAATAGGTTTTGATTTATTTTGACAAGGCACAGCTCCTGATGGAGTTTCACGTTTGTTTGTTTTTTTTTTTGTCTTTTTTCCTGCAACTAAGTGACCAATGAAATCTGGTCGACTAACGTTTGGTCGACTCTTAGGGGGCAGCACTAACTTGGACCCATCTGTGCATCCATGGGTGTGTAGGTCTTAAAAACAGGTGTGGTCAGGTGAATTGTTGGTGTATACCTATTCGGATGCAGCAGGAAGCGATTGCTCCCTTGACCAACAAAAACCTGATCCAAAGTCAGAATGGTGCACTATCTTCATGTTAATATTCAGAAAAGGGCCTCTAAGTCTTAGGGCAAGTTAGATTTAAGGCTTGGAATGAAATTTCAGATCAGGGTTAGGGACAATTTTGCCCAAATATATTAGTTTGAAAATTTACAGTACAGGCCAAAAGTTTGGACACACCTTCTCATTCAATGCGTTTTCTTTATTTTCATGACTATTTACATTGTAGATTCTCACTGAAGGCATCAAAACTATGAATGAACACATGTGGAGTTATGTACTTAACAAAAAAAGGTGAAATAACTGAAAACATGTTTTATATTCTAGTTTCTTCAAAATAGCCACCCTTTGCTCTGATTACTGCTTTGCACACTCTTGGCATTCTCTCCATGAGCTTCAAGAGGTAGTCACCTGAAATGGTTTTCCAGCAGTCTTGAAGGAGTTCCCAGAGGTGTTTAGCACTTGTTGGCCCCTTTGCCTTCACTCTGCGGTCCAGCTCACCCCAAACCATCTCGATTGGGTTCAGGTCCGGTGACTGTGGAGGCCAGGTCATCTGCCGCAGCACTCCATCACTCTCCTTCTTGGTCAAATAGCCCTTACACAGCCTGGAGGTGTGTTTGGGGTCATTGTCCTGTTGAAAAATAAATGATCGTCCAACTAAACGCAAACCGGATGGGATGGCATGTCGCTGCAGGATGCTGTGGTAGCCATGCTGGTTCAGTGTGCCTTCAATTTTGAATAAATCTCCAACAGTGTCACCAGCAAAACACCCCCACACCATCACACCTCCTCCTCCATGCTTCACAGTGGGAACCAGGCATGTGGAATCCATCCGTTCACCTTTTCTGCGTCTCACAAAGACACGGCAGTTGGAACCAAAGATCTCAAATTTGGACTCATCAGACCAAAGCACAGATTTCCACTGGTCTAATGTCCATTCCTTGTGTTTCTTGGCCCAAACAAATCTCTTCTGCTTGTTGCCTCTCCTTAGCAGTGGTTTCCTAGCAGCTATTTGACCATGAAGGCCTGATTGGCGCAGTCTCCTCTTAACAGTTGTTCTAGAGATGGGTCTGCTGCTAGAACTCTGTGTGGCATTCATCTGGTCTCTGATCTGAGCTGCTGTTAACTTGCGATTTCTGAGGCTGGTGACTCGGATGAACTTATCCTCAGAAGCAGAGGTGACTCTTGGTCTTCCTTTCCTGGGTCGGTCCTCATGTGCGCCAGTTTGGTTGTAGCGCTTGATGGTTTTTGCGACTCCACTTGGGGACACATTTAAAGTTTTTGCAATTTTCCGGACTGACTGACCTTCATTTCTTAAAGTAATGATGGCCACTCGTTTTTCTTTAGTTAGCTGATTGGTTCTTGCCATAATATGAATTTTAACAGTTGTCCAATAGGGCTGTCGGCTGTGTATTAACCTGACTTCTGCACAACACAACTGATGGTCCCAACCCCATTGATAAAGCAAGAAATTCCACTAATTAACCCTGATAAGGCACACCTGTGAAGTGGAAACCATTTCAGGTGACTACCTCTTGAAGCTCATGGAGAGAATGCCAAGAGTGTGCAAAGCAGTAATCAGAGCAAAGGGTGGCTATTTTGAAGAAACTAGAATATAAAACATGTTTTCAGTTATTTCACCTTTTTTTGTTAAGTACATAACTCCACATGTGTTCATTCATAGTTTTGATGCCTTCAGTGAGAATCTACAATGTAAATAGTCATGAAAATAAAGAAAACGCATTGAATGAGAAGGTGTGTCCAAACTTTTGGCCTGTACTGTATGTTAGCAGTTATTTAGAGTTTTTACAATGCAACATCAAGGAAAAAAGCTTTAAAAACCCCTACTTCCATTCATAGCACTTTTAAGAGTATTTAATTTAATGAAAGATTGATTTAAGACATTTTAATACCAATAAAGGCCTTATTTTTAGATTAAGGATCTGCAGGAACTGTGCAGAAAGTAAGATGTGCCTTCATAGGAAGGTTCACAAGGTGTGTGCACTCTGCTAATTACACACAGTGACATGCAGATGGGTTGCAGGTGGTTGAAATAATACATCATTAATGAGGAAAATATTAATTACATTCTCTAAACTGTAAACAGAGAGAGCAGAGCTGCTGTCCGACTCCCCATTAAGAGACGCTGTGCACATTTACTCACGAGGAGCAGTGCAACTTCATTGATTATTTTAGAGGCTGAAAGTTTAGCTCTGTTTCCTCTGTCAGCTTTAGCACTACAGTTTTTAACTTTGCTGCTTAAATGTCCCGCAGTATTCGCTGCAGTGACATCACTGCTCCCACTCAGCAGAAAACTGCTCGCTCCTCCAATTTGCAGAATGCGCCACATAAATAGCAGCAGGTCAGGAGCAGGCACAACTGGCTTTAAAGGAAATAAGAGACGACACTCTGGTTGGCTGAATTCATGTTACATCTGTTATGTTTTAAGAGCAGGGAGCAGGACTGGACCCAAAGGCACACAACAGATGAGTGAAAAGGAACAAAGGAAGTGGGCAGGTTTAAGTAGGGAAACACTAACTGAGGTGAGGTGAGCTGAGTGCAGCACTAGTGAGGGACAGGTGAAAGTAATCAGGGCAGGGCAGACAATCAGAACTGGTGAGGAAACACATGCACTTGCTTTGTTTAAATAGGGTCCTCTGAGTATTGCTTACTTCAACCATTGCTTAAAGAATCCTGTAAGAACTTTTACTTTTCTACTGATTCAGGCAAATATTAATGCCTCCCCCCCAGATTGCAAAAAAAAGTGGTGCCCAGATGTTGGATGTTACAGTGCCTGTGATAAATACAAATACAGACTCAACTGACTGTAGGGATGCAGTTCATCTTCGGGGAGTCGTTAGAGAACGGATGAACATTTGACAAAAATGCTCATACCTCAGCTGTAGTTTTATTGTTGGCAGACATTGTTGCGATACAGGTCAAGGTTTCAGCACCCAGAAAGAAATTTAGAGCACAGAACTAGTGGCAACAGCTCAGACAAGTGTCTACTGTCTGCAAAACTCCAAATGACAAAGGAAATGTGACATCACTATATCGACACCCGAGTAGTGATCACTACAATATTTTTTTAACAAGGTATTTTTATTAATAATACAAGAAGATGCACAAAGCATCAACATACAAACAAACATAGAACCAACAAGGAAGGAAATCAGCCCCACCCACCCAACAACCCAGAAACAAACAGAAAAGCCAGACCAGCGAAAGAAAATAAAAGACAAAAACCAAAAATAAAAAAATAATAAAATGAAAAAGAATTTTGAAAATGTATACACATAAATATAAGAAAATAAATGAAAAGAATTCTTAAAAAATATATATCTTAAAAAAATAAAGATAAAAATAAATAATTTAAAAATAAATAAAGAAATTAATTAATAAAATTTAAAAAAAAATACTATTCTAATACTACTCCTCTATACTATGACAGTTTTCCTTAAATATATATATGTTTTGAAAAGTCACAACATATCACCTTCCTTACAGTATTGCAATACATTGAAATACAGTGAATTGTAACCCCTGTATATTGATGCATATCGCCACATTCCTGCTAATACACAGTTTGACTGCTTTGCCTGACAAATCCCTAAAATCCTCCAGCACTAATTGATGTTTTTAGGAATCTCTTCCCCCTCTTGTGGACAGACGTTATGACATTTAACTAAAAAAAATCTGCCACTGAGATATTTTTTTGCGTTTCCATTGTGATAAAGTTAATAAAGTGTGTGTGAAAAGATAAAAACATCAAATATGTGCAAGAGAAGTAAAAAGCTTATTCCGTTCGTTTTATTTTGGGGCAGGTCCGTTACATAAGTGAAGCTAATTGAAATTCCCACCCTGAGGTCACTCCGGGACGCTGCCGGCAGCGTTCAGAGCGGCTGGTGGAGGGTTTCCCACTGGTTTGCAGGATGTGAATGAGGCAGATTGTCTTCCTGTTATTCCGCAGGAGATGAGTGAGTGGTCATTCGTGGAAAGAAGGGAGTGTGTAACGTGCTTGTGTGGGTGTGTGTGTGTACCAGCACGTAACAGACAGGTTTAACATGAGTCAAGTGCATTCGATTGATCTCGTGTGTGCTGACAGATGTGTGGTGAAATGATGTGGGTGAGCATGAGTGTATTCATGCTGAAACATGTTCCAGTGCGTTGCTCTTGTTCGGTGGAAATGAAAATGGGAAGTAGGAAAAAAGAAAGGGAAGTGAGGATTGTAGAACAAATGTACAGTTCCACGAAAAAAACATCGTCATGGCAGAAAAATGTCTGAATCAGGTGTTTCAGACAGTTTTGTTTGAATCTAATCGAGCACCTCCCTCCCTGAGCACTAACATGTGTGTGTCTCTGTGTGTGTGTTTAGCTGGAGCTCATCAGACACATGCTGGAATCAGTCTGGCTGAAATACAAACTTGGCCCTCGTGTTTTGTGCTTGTGAGTAGCCCTCCCTTATCAAGTTTCTAACTAATGTAAAGTATTAAGTGCTGAGTGAGTGTGTGTGTGTGTGTGTGTGTGTGTTCATCATCACGCATGTGTGCTCCAGACCCTCCATCACTACCTGCTGTGTGTATGTGTCCACATGTGCAAACTGTCAGTGACCCCTCTTCACGTGTGTGCTCACGTTACGTAACATTACCATGAATTTTTCTGTGTGTGTGTGTGTGTGTGTGTTCCAGCACACAGCAGGGCAGTCCGGCCGAGTGGTCCGTGTTTCACTTCATGTTTCGAATCCTGGAAGCCACGAGGAGCCTCTGCCTCCCCCTTCCACCTGGTACTATCCACACATACACACACACACGTAGACTTGTAGTTGTTATAACCCAGTGTGTGTCTGTCTCACCCAGAATAACAATGTGTGTTTGCACTGAGGGACAACAGAGCCGCTCTCTTCAGCACTAATGTAACCAAAAATATGTTAAACATTAGCATAGCGCAGACATGGGTAAAGCAGAGTGTGAATACATTTTCAATAATTTGAATTTATTTTCCTAGTGTTTGCAGTATAAACCCCCCCGTTACACAATTCAATGATTTTAGTCGCCAGTGAGGAAAAGTTTGTGGGTTAGAATCCCAAACTGCCCGCGAACGAGAGGGGGGAAATGAGGGATGCCCTGAAGCAAGGAGGCACGTTCAACACCACAGAGGCTGCAGGTGTAAATGTGTGTACATTGGGTGTGAAGCTGTAAAACAGCAGGTAGACTGAGTCTGTGTCCCTTAGGTATATAAAAGTAAAAAAAAAATACACATCACAGTCAGGAGTTGTGCAGTCAGGTTTACACTTATGTAACAGTAAGTAGCTTCATTTTTTGTTTTATCTTCTAATCTGTCTAATTAGCAAATGTTAGCATGCTAACAAGTAAACCAAGACAGTGTAGGGAAACATTATACCTGCTGAACAACAGCTTCAATAAAGTCAGTGTGAACATGTTAGCATAATTACGTTAGCATTAAAAGGGACTAGAACTGAGTATCGACCGGAATAACCCAGTACCAAGTAGTAATGAAATGTTTTTGGTCAAGTCAAACGATAACCTGAATTCAGTCCTTTTTGCACCGGGGTTCTAATCCTCAACTGTTCTGACTTCCTGCCAGATCAGCAGACTTTCTGTTGCTGCCATCTCTTTAGCTGCTATCCTCCGTGTATGATCAGTTCAACGCCAGCCTGCTTAGCACAAGCTAACACAGCAGCAGCGGCTAACATCCAACATCAAGCCATTAAGTGGTCCTAACGAACCTCACATCGACATAGAAACAGCTCGACTCCGCTGTTAAACTCATTAATGACCGTTAGGTAACGTTAGCTGTGTGCTGCTAACAGTTAGCCCTGTCACTGTGTGTGTGGAAGGCTGACACTCACAACCATCCCCACTGCAGAGCTCACATTGTCGCCGCAGCAGCTGCAACAGTTTGTGGTTAAGTTGAGTTGGCAGCTCAGCGTGCATGCTGAATGTCACATGACACATTTCTAAATCATTTTTAAGGATCTGATCCAGTATGTTATCATATAGTTACATCAGGGACCTTTAATGAAGGAGATGTCTAAGAGAGGTGTGAAGTTCTTCTCCACCTGATAAATGAGCCCAAAGGAGAGCCCCTCATGTGCAGCCACAGTACCCAGTTGGGAGAACCAGGATCACCCAGAACAAACACGTATGAGCAAAATGAGGTGTCTAATTTAAGGATCATTTTGGTCTTCTCATGTACGGCAGACCAGAATTTTTGTGCAATGGGACAGGACCCCAACAGCAATTCAGGCCATCTCTCAATTTTACCCTTAATAACCTCGAGGGGAACCTTTGTTGGTGATTTTCAATGTTACAATCTGCAGCTATACTCCTTTACAGTCTTCCCCCGGCTGCAATGATGGTGCAGACACACTGAGATAGAGCACAGATTACATGGAGATACAAACCAATCAGAGCACACTGGCCTTTTGTTTTTGGGAGGGGAGCTCAAAAGGACAGACGCTAAAACCGGGCTCAGACTACAGGAGTTTTAAAATCCTAACTGATTTTGAAATTGGGTTGCATCACACACGTAGAGAGAAAATTCACAGATTTTCTTACGTCTTGTCTCAAACAAGCACACACTATCATAACTGTAATCATCCAGATTTTAAATCCTAAATATGAAACATGTTCAAAATTAATGGGGCTGCCCCAGAGCCTGCGAGCAGTTTAAGATTGGATCTGTAAACCTCTCAGATAACCAGATAATCTGGGCTGAACAGCAGCACCAACCAATGTCCCAGACTGGATTTCTCCTTCGACTGTCGGAGGGGGTGAATCAGGGTGAAATCAGTCCAACACTCCTGCAGTCTGAGCCCGGCTTAAAACAGAGCCTCCTCAGACAGAGGGTGAATACAAGTGTTCCAGCGCAGACAGCATGAGTATGAAAATAAAGTGAACATTTGAGCATGTAAACATGTATTTTAGGTTTCCACTAGAACAAGTATGAACCTGGAAATGAGCATAATAGGTCCTCTTTAAGCCCAAACACAGCTGTGTCTAATCCAATCTCACACAGCCATCAGCATGGCTGTGGACTCTTGTTTTACCTTTTATTACACTTGTTGTTTTTTCAGGAACATCAAAAGCTAAAGTCTCCTTTTCTTCCTTTTTTTCTCTGCCGTTCTCCCTCTGTCTCTCTCCAGGCTATCACACCCTGTTAGCGGTGTTTGCTGTGCGGTGCCTCCCTCATCACACCTTTCTACAGTACATTGACCACGGCTTCCTGCAGCTCACTGAAACCTTTGTGTCTCGGCTCATGACAGGTACACACACACACACACACACTGCTAAACCTTGCTTTGCATGTGTGAGAAGTTTTACAAGAAAAATACTATAATTTCATCATCTACCACTTTGGTCCAGACTGAAATATCTCAATGACTTTTGGATGGATTGCCATTGAATTTTGCACGTATGCTCGTGCTCCCCAGAGGATGATCTCAGTGACTTTAGTGATCCCCTGAATTTTTATTTAGTTTCGCTTTTTAATGATATCTATCAACAACTATTGGATGGATTGCTGTTAAATTTGGTAAAGACAAGGTTCAAGGTTGCCTTTATTGTTCGCTTAGGGGAAATTTATTTAATTGCCAGGGTTCACATAAAAACCTAAAATCAAAATACAAAGAACATCATCAACGACACATTAAAGCCATTAATCAACAGAGCTAGAGCAAGGAAATGGAAATTCATACCATACTATGTAGCTACACATGTACAAGACTGCAAAGTACAAAGAGTGCAAAGGAAGTTCAATGAATACAGCCAGAGTGCTATTTGCTATGAAGCACATTGATAGCACTTGGGATGGCAGACATTCACGTTCCTCTCAGGATAAGTTGTTTCATAACTTTTTATATAGCGCCACCATCTGATCAAGATTTCAGGTTGTCCAAAATACGACAAAGAAACAACATTAAAAAAACATTTAATCATTGTTTAAAGGTTCCATGACATGCTGTAAAAATTAAAGCACAAACTTACAAATTAAGAGGCAACAGCAGTAAAATTAAAAACAACAAAAACATTTACAGAAATTTTTGTACTTAACTTGATCAAGTTTATCTGAACTTGATCAATCAAGACAATCAATCAGTTAGTCTGAAGAAGTATAAAACATGAAACCATTCATAATGCAGGGACAATATTATCTGGACGTACAAGCGATAATAATGGTGGGAAAAATTAAAGTCTTTACTTGAAGATTTCAGAAGTCGGTATAGATGATGGAACGCTTACCAGAACAGTGAAGACCAACTGGCACAGACAAAAGGAATGACACACACTGAATACACAAGGAAGAGAGGGTAATGAAAGCCAGGTGAAACTAATCAAGGTGGGGTAGTTAATCACCCAGGTGGGAAACACAGGAGGGCAGGAAGTGGGGAATCTTAAACAAGTGACACAGGGGGGTAACAAATCAAACATGAAATGATAAATCACAAAACTGAAAACAAACCTCAACAACTGGACTGCGATTGAACATGTATTAGACGTCATTAAGTGGCATGAGGAGACACCTTCTCTTTCTGTCGCCTTCTTTTCTGTAATGCCGAGACGCGAAGAAATACAGGAATGGATTCAGACAGGGATTGAAAAAGTATAAACATTCCACAAACGTCAGCATCTTACTGACTCGAAGCAGTCTGTCTGATTCCGTGAAAAGTGCAGCCACATACATTGTGCGAAGAACGAGAGGAGAAAAGCCAAAAACCAGAGAGACGGCGATTATTCGCATGAAAAGTTTATTCGTTTTGTCCTGTTTCTTGGCAGGCATTTGAGCTCGATTGACCCCTCTAACAAGTAGCAGGTAGAAGGACAACACGACAAGCTGGCTGAAAACCATAAATGAGATGTAGACTGTTTCGAGCACGGGCTCAATCCTCTTATTCTTGCAGGAGCGACCGTCAGTCCACTCGTCCACGATTTCCACCTCTCTTAGTAAAAACACAGCTGGAAGAGCCACCAGGGCTCCGAGCATCCACACAGCAAACAGTGAAACACGCTGCCATATCCGCTTCAGCTTGGACCATTTCTTGTGGTGAAGAATCTGACAAATGAAATGGACACTTTTAGTTTGATTTTGTATTTGCATTTAGAAGTGGAACTGGAAGAAAAACTTGTGTATCATCTGCAAAAAAAAAATGTTTAAGGTGTGTCTGCAGGGGTGTAAATTTTGCTAATGAAAAATATGACTAAATATGTTAGTCAATGACCTTTTTTCCCAGCTAGGGAGAAAGGTCAGCTATGTGATAAAATTTAAGTTTTGAGCCATGACTCCTTCTATTCTGGCTCCCAATAACACAACAAGACAACATTTTAAGACTCCTATGTAGCCTACAGCCCTGTGGTAGAGTCGTGTTTTGCCGATTATCTAACACAAATTTTGCAGGTTGGATTTAGTTTGATCAACCAGGGTCTCAAGGCCATCATTTCAGCGTGTTTCAAATTGGGAACCAATTTCATACAACATATAAGAGGCATCTTGGCAGTATACCATGCATGTAAATGCATCGCCTTAAAGTTAATTGTGTTCCTTTAAATACAGTACCAAATTAAGTTTCAGTTTCTCTCTCTTGCTGTTAGTTGGCCACTTACTTTTATCTTTTGCTTTTCTCTTATAAACATGTCTGAATTGTAAACCCAAACTATCACTGGCATTCTGAAGGCTGATGTTCCTTCATCTGATTTGTGTCTGTTGCTATGAGAAACAGCATTAATGATCAAAAACAGGGTCACAATCTTTGACATTTTTATCTGCATTTGTTCCCACTGCTTCAGACTAAATCTGCAGTGCTACTTGTGTCTTATTTTTCCTATATATATATTACAGAATTTGAGTTACCTACCTGATAGTACCTCTGAATACTTATCAGCACCAGAATGTTTGAGTTGGAGGTGATGCAGAAAAAGAAGAAGTAAAAGAGAAGTGGACAGACTCCTTCTGTCAAATGTATACCATTGAAGAAAATGACCATGCCAGCGGTCAAGTAGAACAGGCAGAGGAGGTCCGACACTGCCAGGTTGAAGAAGAGGCGCTGCGACATGGTGGAGCCACGCAGTTGCTTACTGAGTTTTACTATCACGGTGATGTTAGCAGGGATACCAAGCACGCAACTGACTGAGATCATCACACCTGCGACGATGTACCAGGGATAGAGGCTGGAGGTCGGAGACATTTCTGAGGAGGAGCAGTTGTTCATGGAGGAGTTAAGGGAGCAGGAGGTGTTGAAGTTGCTGTCAGCAGTCATCGTGGATGGGGAATAAAGGAGGAAGATGAAAAAGAGCAAATCTGACAGATAGAAATGCTTCTTCTGGTGTCGAGCTCAGGCTGAATGCCCTGGATACAGTTTCTGTGAAACCAGCGTCATATTTATACGTGCCCACACTAGCGGTCTTGGTCTATGAGGGGAAGGTTTACAGTTACTGAGAAGTTGGTTTTAGTGCCTTCAAAACTACAGTATATCTAGTTTGTCTTTGATTTGTACAGTAACAACTCAGATCCTTTTGTGGCTCCATGTTGAAATACCACATACGGAATATTTGAAGTTGAGGCAGATTTAAAGTGACTGGAGCTTCAAGTACAACCACACAGAGCTGCTAATGTGGCTGTTAGTTCACTTTCATCTAAAACTCACAAAGCTGCACCATTTGTATTTCTTAATCTTGGAGCTGCTCAGCATCCAGTCATCTTTAAGCATTACAACAGTCTCATAGGTGTCTGATACTATACCACACCTGTTAGGAACAACTCTGAAATACCCCAGAAACTCCCCAAAACCCACAGGAAAGGAAGTCTGACGAACAGATGTGAACAGCTCCAGTATGGAGCCCCACAGTACAAAATAGGTAGATGAGACATTATGAAATAATGCTGAGTGTGAATACATTATGTAAATATATAAAACGGTAAATAATGAAACGATGTAGCTCAATTCATTATTTTGTATTTCATTATCATGGCTGGTATTGTTATCACCTTGTGAGTGTGTGTGTGTGTGTGTGTGCGTGTCATCATTACCGATGTGGTCCAGGTGACACCAACTGTAGCAGAAACTACCACAGACACCATTTTGGGGTGTTTATATGGCTGGCTGTCTGTCTGTGGACAGATTTTGTCAATGCAATAATGTCACGAAACTTTATAGGTGTAGTTGAGATCAGATTGAAGGCCGAGTTTGAAGATGGGGCCATTGCCCGCCCCACTTTACGATGCTGGCAACATTCGATTTAAGTCGTGGACCGCTGTAGATCCCATTGTAAGATGGTCTCTAGTCCATGTTCTCTTAGAATTTTAACTGCGTTTATCGCAAAGCTTTCAATTTACTGGTCCATCGACGTCCCAACCCTCAGCTATGGTCTTGAGCTCTGGGTAGTGACTGAAAGAATGAGGTCGTGGGTACAAGCGGCGGAAATTCATTTCCTCAGAAGGGTAGCTGGGCTCAGCCTTAGAGATAGGGTAAGGAGCTTGGATAGTCAGAGCTCTGAGTAGAGCTGCTGCTCCTTTAGTTGAAAGGAGTCAGTTGAGGTGGTTCGACTTGACACCTGCATGTGCAGAGACACAATATGGTGCAACAGTATTAAAGGTTGCTGCTGAAGAATGACGAACATATGACCTGTCAATCTGTAAAAGCAGGTCACACCACAGAGCTGTAACCACTAACAGAGCATGTCAGCAGCTGTTGTGTTTGTGTGTTAATGTTACCAGTTTAACAAATGAAATAGGCCGAACATATCTGCTTTTCTTTGCGTACTTTTATTATTGTTATATAGTATAGTATTATGTACAGAGAGGTCAGAGTTTAAGATCAGCTACCATGGGGCCTCAGTGCCTCACTCAAAAACACTGATACCATTTACTTTGTGTATCTTGGTGTGGATTTCATACCATGGAAAGTACATTTATCAAAGGCCAACACATCATGACTTGGCACTGAGATCAACAAAACTAAAATATCCTTGTCACTCTTGATCTTGTTGTAGTTTACATGGTTCTTTCTCATGAGGAGAACAAACAAAGATCCACAAAGATGAAAAGATTATTTAAAGGCCCCAGTCCAAATGGTTTCCAACTTCAAAGTGAGAGAAAAGGATGTTTCGGGACTTTGAAGTGAGGGTGTTCATGCGTCACGTCTCCCCAGGGATTAATCAAATAAAGTATATATATCTATGTCAGTTTCTACTATTTTATCCTGGGCAATTGGCTTGGCAGGTGGACAATTTCTGCCTCATTACAAACACACACAAACATATCTTTTTTGGTTTCGAGATTCTGAAATGCTGCCCATATGTCAGATTTGTTTTCGCAGCAATTTACCTTAATTATGAAAACTACTTAATACAGATGAATAATAATAAATAAGTTTATTGTTTTTCCAGTCTGAAAATGCCTTCTGTCAGTGGGAGGTGGGGAGTTTGTTGGATTGTTGGGCTGTTGCTAAGCTGCATACCGCTGTTCGAGACCAACAAATAACAAAAATGGTTGTTTTTTAGAGAGATATTGGTGGCATTTCCCGCTGTGATTATGGCACCAAAACTGGTATTTTAAACATTTCTTCTGTTGCATTTTGAGTCTGTTTCGCCAGGTTTGTTTTTGCTCTTTATAACTTGCACAATGAACTCCATCTCCCAGAATGCCTGTTAGCACCAGGGAGTCATTCAGGAGCTGCTAAAGCAAGATGCCGGATCAAAGGATGTCAGAGGGCTCTCTGCTCCTCTGCTTCCTTTTCTGAATGGATCACAGATCTCACTGCAAAACAAAAAATACACCCGGGAAATTTCTTGAAGCCAGAATAAGAAAGTGGTGCTGACTCAGAATCCGCTGCGCTCGGGGGATCGTTTGCGAAGCCTCAAAACATTGTCTGTTTTCTATAAAAGTAAAATATCCCTCTAATGCTTTCTTATCCACGGATATCAGCATATGGGAAGAAGGGTTAAAGCAATGTGGGATTTTGTTGATTTTATTTGCATTTATTTCACGTCTCCAGAAACAGAGAAAATAAAAACTCTTTAATCCCATGTTTCCTTTCAAATATTTCATTTAGACATACAGACTAGACTAGAGAGTAGTAGAGAAGTATGACACTGCATTATTTGTCTCCCCCCCCCCCCCCCCCCAAGATGTGTGTTCACATGAGTAATTAGTACCATGTCTCCTCTCTTTTGTCTTTGTGTTTAGATTTGGACAACAGTGATGTCAGCGAGAGACTGAAGTTCAGCATACTTAAGAGACTCCCTGAGGTACTTCTGCGTGTGCGGCCAAACATGAGGTTTTTGTGCACGTCCAAGAGTCGTTTAGATGAGTCTGCCACCCAAACGATGACATGTTGAGCGCACAAACTCGGAGGACTGTAGCCAGTAAAACAATGCATGAGGCTATTATAATCTATTAGTGAGGGGGAAGTTTTGATCTTTTCTCCAGCGGTTCTCTCCCCAAACTTCCCCATTCTGGTCCAATTAAGAGTTTGAAGTTATTTTAGGTCTCATCTCTCTCAAGCCCCCCTCAAGCCAATCACAAAGCACTTGTGTAACTGGCTGGTGTGTGTGTGTGTGTGTGTGTAAGTGTGTGTGTTGGGGAGGGGGTATTGGAGGTAGTTGTCTGCGGAGTTCGTGTGTGCTTATGTGTGTCCCTAACTCTTGTGTAACTTCCACGTGTTCCTGTGTGGATACAGTATATTTCTTCTGTAGCTGTGCGTGTGAGTGTGTGTGTGTGTGTGTGTGTGTGTGTGTGTGTGTTTTCCGTCTGCATTGTGGTCAGAGGAATGTCGAGTGTTTAGTGTCTCTGTTCTATTTCCTGCCCATCAGACATTTGTTGGGTGAGTTTGGCAGGCAAGAGAGATTTTGCAGGTACAATACACACACACACACACACACACACACAAGCTCTCCCACAGAGCTAGAAAACAGGAGATGTTGGCAAACTGTTGAGAATTTATATCTTGGCTGAACCCAGCAGCACCCCCATAATTCTCACCGTATACATCTTTAACCCCCGTGGAATTCCAGTAAACCTCACACTATACTTCACATTTGTGCAGCAACAAATAAATATAAGATCAAACTGAGCTGAGTTATGATGTAAATCATGTGGCGATTTTAATTTTTTTTTTTTCATATCGCACCACGTAAGCTAGTTCTAATGTCAAGATAAGTTGTTTATTTACATATTTACAAATATTTACACTGAGTCGGGCGATATGTTAAATTTTACAACTAGCAACTGTCGATATATTTGCGCAGATGCGTGTGTGGCTAGTGTGTAGGATTTAGTGGCATCCCAAGCATGGAGCAGAACTACAGTGGCGATAGATGCGAAATAGCCCTATCCAGAGCCAGTGTTTGGTTTGTCTCCTCTGGGCTACTGTAGAAACATCATGGGAGAATCCGTGGGAGGGGATCTGCTCTGTATGTACACACAAACAGTTCATTCTGAGGTGATGAAAACAGACAATTCTTAGGGTGCTTTCACACCTGCCCTGTTTGTTTCGGTTCAATCAAACTCAGGTTCGTTTGCCCCCTAAGTGCAGTTCGTTTGGGCAGGTGTGAACACAGCAATCACGCTAGGGTGTACATCATAACAACCAGACCGAGACCTTCTTGAAGAGGTGGTCTCGGCCTGGTTACAAACGAACTCTGGTGTGGTTCGTTTGTGGTGAGAACGTGTTCCGACCCTGATCTGAACCAACTGCAGTCACATGACACATTGTTTGGGTTAAACATGAGCATGTTACAGTCCTGGAGGATTATTAATGTGCACTTCATTAGACGTTAGAAAGTGTCACATTTATCTTGCAAGTGTACTCTTCTTAAACGTTTTGTTTACTTCCTGGATTTTTCCCACATGGAAATTCTGACCAATCAAGAGCAGCTTTCTCACGCAAGGCATTTGATCTGGTCCGCTTGTAAATGCTGCTGTGAGAACACGAACCAACTCTAGGCAATTATGCAACTTTGGAACAACATTAGTCCCTTATTCAAACCAAAGCAAGACAACTCTAGGTCTGAAAGCAGCCTTAGTGTCAGGTGATTATACCCTAATGAAACATAGTTATGACTTTTATGCTCCATTTCTTTCAATATATCTCCCTAATTCCTACACAATGGACTTATAAGAGAGGAAATATTCTTACAAGTTTAACTAAAGTTACTTTTTCTCCCAAGCTTTTAGCCCATTACAACAAAGTAGAGTTTACTCGACCCCTCGACACATGTTGCATACGTCAACAGGTTATGGGTTCAATCCTTCAGATTTATTTCATGACGCCTGAAGGGGATCCTGATATCTGATATCTCATGGTTATTTTATCTAGAAACGCTCTCTGAATCAAAGTGTAGACAGAGAAGTATATCATGGTATAAATGACTGAAAGTCCAAATGACAGAAGAACCAAAACTAACTGGGATAACACGATGACCTCAGGTAAAAAAAAAAAGAACAAACAGAACAGAAGACACCAGGCAGGAAACAGAGCAGGGAACGACACCAAGAACACAGAGATGAGCGCAGGAATGAACAAAGATGAAATGACAAGGAACAAAGGGAAACACACAGGTATATATATATACACACAGGAAACTAATCACAAGAACAAGACACAGCTGGAGCAGGTGGACACAGGGAAATGGGGATTGGCTAACAACAAGGGTGTGGAGGGGAACACTAGGGTGGAGCAAACAAAACTAATAAATAACAGGTGTGAAGAGAAGACTCTGGGAACAGGGAGGGACTAACGAGACAGGTATGACAGAAAACAGGCGGGAAAACACGACATGAGCAGAGAATCTACAAAATAAAACCCAGGGTCATGACAGCAGTCGGTTGTGTTGTTTCTTCTCACCTCTGATAATAGCGTAATCCTTGAAGTCATCCAGCAGCTTTGTAGAACTTGGCAGCGCGTTTGAAGCTGGACGGAAAGCAGTCACACCTGTGTTGCTTAAACACAGTTATTTATCACCATTGTGTGCGTGTCACAAAGCTGAGAAATAGAATTTCTCTGCAATCTCTCATTAGCAGTCAGCTCCTCCATAATGGTTCCCAGTTCCAGTTGGCAAAATGGAAAGGGACAGATGTTCACTTGCTTTAGGGATTAATTTTTTCATAACATGAGCTACATGCCTAAAATATAAACTCTGCTGTTTGTGTGTGTGTGTGTGTGTTTGTGTTTGTGTGTAGCCTATGGAGCAGAGGATCTACCATATGTGGGACCATCCTGTCAGTTCAGCTTCGATCTCCAGAGATTATGTCAGAACGCTGCTGGAGAGACACAACAAAAATAAGGTAACACAACACAGTTTGTCACCCTGATACACACACTCACAGCACTGCAGACTAGCAAACACAAGCGATGCTGAATTTGTCCCAGACAGAGTGTGGATTTGCTAATTAGCAATAAAGACAAAGTACGGCTGAGGCTGATGGGAGTGTTATTAGTTTTGCAGGTATTTGGTCATAAAGCAAAGTATTGGACAATTTAGCTAAAAATGCCAAACATTTGCTGGTTACGGCTCCTCAAATTTGAGGATGTAGCACTTTTCTCGGTTTTTATGTCCTCGTAAATTCAAATTGTTTGGGCTTTGGACCATTGGTCGGACAAGACGAGCTTTTTGAAGAAGTCCTCGTGGGCTGTGGAAGCTTGTGATGGGCTGTTATCCCAGTTTTATGACGAGGAATCCTCGCAGCGTGAATGGAAAAGAAGTAACGCCTGCACACAAACATTCAATAATGACAATGGTTCAATCCCACTTGGATCTGCACCAGGTCAAAAAGTGGAAAACACACCTGTATTTATACAACGTGCACACTTCGCTTCGTACGCTGACAGGGTCTACGATGGCAGACGTGGTTAACCATCCAAACCGCTCAGGGTGATGGAGAAAAAAAAAGAGAATCAACAATTCATTAAAGTACATAGAAAAGAGTACAAAGAGAAAAACCTACCTATCACTTTTCTTACGCTGCTTTCAGACGCCTTTCGCAAGTATTTAAAAAGCATCGAATTCACCATCCTATGTTCAAAAATATGTGATTGATTGGTTGATTTGTGACGTCCCCAACACTCATGGATTCACAACACACCATTGCAATATCCAAAATACTTAAATTATTTTACTGCTCAGTCTCAAACTAAATTCTCTGCCTTCTATCCCCGGCCTGGCAAACAAAGTCTGCCACAAAAAAGGCTTCCCTTCTGAGTGTAACTGTGCCCGCAGGGATTTAGTCTTTTGTTTAAATTATACTTTACATTAACTTCTACACTGTAGACATTCTTCATGAATTATTGAGTTTGTAATTTGGGTTTATGTCCAATATATCAAAAGACCATTTTTCTCTATACATGACGAACATTTTGCCCCAAGTCTCCGGATATCACAGAGTAACCTCAAGCGTCTTTGAGAGCTGTAAAAGCGCTATGTAAATAAAATGTATTATTATTATTATTATTATTATTATTATTATTATTATTATTATTAACCTGTTCTGGAAGACGAATGCTGACTTGATCAATTGAGCTACAACACCAACAGCTTCTTTAAATGTGCTCATCCAGTGTCAAGCCAAGATGTTTATACTGATTTACATATGACAGACATTATTGAACAAAACTTTAAAACAGCTGAACTTCTCTCTGAAGGTTTTCTCCCAAAATGTACTATTTGTGTTTCGTCTTAAAGGTCCAGTGTGTCAGATTTAAGGGGATATATTGGCAGAAAAATAAATATAATACAACAGGTCTGTTTTCTTTAGTGTATAATCACCTGAAAATAAGAAATGGCTGTTTTCATTACCATAGAATGAGCTGTTTAATATCTACATAGGGAGCAGGTCCTCATCTATAGAGATCACCATGTTGGTCTGCCATATTTCTACAGTAGCCCAGAATGGACAAACCAAACACTGGCTCTAGAAAGGACCATTTGCATTTTTGCATTTTGGCAATTTCATTTCGGAATTTCTGAGTGTTTGTTTTGGAGAGGAAGAGACTTCTGCGGAAAATTTGGCTCCCGGTAAAACCCCCCTGAACGTCTCGATCTTAAGTTAGCAAAAAAAAAAGTTAGCAGGCACTAGGCTTGTCTCCGACATGTCAAACAGTGTTGGAGAAACACTAATATGTAACGTGGAACTTCTATATCAGTGTTTTTACCAGTTTATATCACTCCCTGCATTTGTTTTGAGGAAGATAAGACATTTGCGGATAATTCAGCTCATGATAAAAACCTCCTGAACAATGAACACTGACAGATGGTGCGTTTGTTTTGACCTCGGAGGTCAGAGGTCGGAAGTGGGAATGACGTCACCTCCAAGTTGACAATAGTTTTTGCATTCTAGTTGCCAACAGTGGACAAGTCGGAAAAAAAAGATGGACGCCCGCAAGAAAGCCTTTGTTGCCCTTGCACTTTCGGAGTATAGCTTCAAAACCATCATGCACTCCAACTGATGAACACCGCAGATGAGGCTGACCTAATGTAAAACAAATAAGATAAAATTGCTATAAACAGTACTTTAGCAGAGTGTTTACTCACTATGTATGTGACCAGCAGCTATCTTGAATTCGTAAGTCAGGGTTGATGCGCTTGCTCCGAGTTTCCTAGTTGGAAATCCGATCTCAGGGTGCATTCGAGTTGAAACTTACAACTGGGAACTGGGAATTTCCAACCTCCAAGTACAAAACAAACGCATCAAGAATTCTAACCTTGAGAAGTTTCAGCTGGTTGCAGTCTGCAATCCTCACCACTAGATGCCACTAAATCCCTCTGAATCTTACACACTGGACCTTTAATGTACCATAAGTCTCCATTTCCAGCATACTGTATCAAGTTAGAGGCAAAAGAGAAGACATCTTGAATACATGCACAGAAATTTGGTCTCAAACCCTTCAGAGGAAACACCTTATTTATTGATAAGCAAATTTTCATTTTTATAAATATATATGAGCAGGGTGTTTGTACCAATGCAGCTCTAACACTGTTAACTCCAGAGCAGAGGAGTGTTACACTTGCAGAAAAAATGTCCTCTTTGGCCCTCTTTATCAAATGTGTTTAAAGTGGCCCCAGCCGTACAGTTCGCACATCATCTATCCACTTCTTGATGCTATTGGCCAGCTTCAGTCAGCAAATTGGCCGGCAGAGCCACTGGCATTTCGTGCAATGTCAGATAAAGCTGCCTAAAAAAGTTAAACTGCAGCCAACTTCATCCAGATCAGGGAACAAGTGAGTTAAGGTGACGAGTTCCTTTTTTGGATTTGCTGCAGATTTGTCTTGACTGTGTGCACCCTGAAAAACCTGCAGAATCCACAGTTGTGTTTCTGTTTTTTCTTCCTCCTCAGGGATTTGCATTCACCGGCAGAGACAAGCCCGCCTTCAGACCTGAGTTTCTGCCGCTTACCTACCTGGCAAAAATACTCTCTGATATAGAGGAACAAGGTAGCGTTTGTGTGTGTGTGCGTGCCTGGTTTAGATACAGAGGCCTTTGGAGGATTAAGGCAGAATGTGTGCATTTATGTGCGCGCTCGGTCCAAATGCAGCTCCATCATGAAGGCACCAGAGAGGAAGTGTGTGGTTGTGTCTGGTGTTATATCCTCTTATAAGAAGCTGTATCTCTGTCTAACTCCTCTTCCTGTGTTGCAGCTCTGAACCCTTTCGAGGAGCAGGAGAACGTGGACGCCAGGTTCGTGGAGGAGACGGCTCTGAAACAGACACTGATACTGCTGGGCTTTGAGGAAAAATGAGGGATGTGGAGTGGGCGGGCGGGGTGGATAGATTGAGGGAGAAACAGATGAGGGGGGAAATGTGTTTGAGAGAACAGTCATCATTGACTGGGCCTTGAGGATAAGTAACGGATGGATGGATGATGGAGGGACGGAGGGCGAGAAGTGAAAGATGAATGGAGAGATTGAAAGGCAGGGGGCTCATAAACAAGCTCTCACTGTCTGATGACAGATTAAGGTGGGGCGGGAGGAGAGATGGATGGAGACGCACAGAAAAGAAAGATGGAGGGGAGAACACGAGGCGAAAAGTCACCCTGTTTTTCCTCGGAAACACTGAGGAGTGCGAGGGTCTGTGCCAAAGATGATAACATGATAGGGAGCACAGTTAGATCTTCAGTTAGTGGCTTAATTCAATTTGGGGAAACATGCTTTTCAATTTTTTATTGAAAATCAATAACTGCAGGCAGCTATTTATCTGGACTCAATTTCTGTGGTGGCAACAATTCTCTCCACAACTTCCATTTTCTCTCGAAACAATTTATGAACATTGATGTCAAGTATAAATCACATGCTTGTTTTATCCTTCTGTGCTTCCTGTAATTCTGCCGCACCCCATCAACTTGATTACATGCTGACAAAAGGCTTTGCGGACAGAGCGGCTGGATATGGTCAGTCCATTCATTCTGATATTATACACAATCTTTGCTGCTGAAAGGGGCTTAGGTGAGACAACCCGGCCAACCTGATCGTCAGATGGTATTGTACGTTTCTGCGATCCACAGATACGTCACATTCGTCTGTTATTATGTTGTGGATACATTGAAACTTTACATTTCTTTACATTTCATCAGTGCTACAGTAAATATGTGGTCAGGTTTAGGCACAAAAACCACTTAGTTATGGTTAGGAAAAGATTGTGTTTTGCCTAAAATACCTACATTGTACCAGGGCTGAAAACAAAGCAACAAGTCGCTAAGAAACACCCACATTCGGTGGCTAAAAAGCCGCTGGAAAACAACCAATATTAATGATTGTTGGCCTTCCAACTTGTGACATTACTTTAAAAACATTGATGTAAGTATGAAACAGACAAATGTGACATATCAGACACGTACAACGCCAACATGTTCTTCAAGCGACTGTGCTAACCTGGCAGATTTAAAGTCATATAAACCCAACCAGATGCTAAACATTTGAGAACAGGAACACGTCTGAAATATGTAGGAAATTCCCTGTTTGCTGCTGTAAGGACAATAAGGGCTGTGTGTCATTCACACACTGTAAGAAGTGGACAAAACCATTGTGACGTCACTGTTTTTAAAGCCTCTAGTTTGGCATTTTGGCAGTCACCATTTTGCTTTTTTTGGAGCCAGAGGTGACCACGTGTGGATGATGGATGGATGGATGGATGGATGGATGGATGGATGGATGGATCTGGCTGAGAATCTCAAGGCCATTAAATGAAAGCTGTGACACAGTGTCATGTCACGTCGTATCATTGCGGTAAAGGCTGGTCTTCACTTGCTGAAAGGCTCAGTAGCCTGTATGTTATCATAGAACATCGTATTGATTGATTAGTTTCACTGAGGCGTGCAGAGTTGGCTTTGGTTCGGAAAAAAATTCATACAAAATATGCAGCATGTGTACGGCTCCTTAAGGAGCACAACCAAAGAGCACCTGAGCAGACACCTTCCCTTTATTTCTGGCATCTGCTGTAGCCCTACAACACTGCAGCCCTCTTGACACTGCACGTGTCGTGCTCCATAGGGTCAAAGACCATGTCCAGGTCTTCATTAAATAGCCTTGAGGACCCGTGGTAGCCACGCCTTAAAGCATCCTCCGCTTTATTGTCTGTTTTACTCTAAATGGGACCATAATTCACGAAAGGAGCATCAAACTGTATCGCAGAAGACTTAAAAGTAGCGATTAAGACCATTAACTCATTAGGAAAAGGACTTGCAGACTTGTATACAAACAAGTGTCTTTATTGCAACCAGTGGAGCTGCCCCCTGCTGGCCATTAGAAAGAATGCAGGTTTGAGGCACTTTGCATCATTAATTTTGAGAAATATAAATATGCTTTTCTACAAAACCCTCAAAATTCAGTTAGTTACCTGAGAGGAAAACAGCAAAATTCAATAACTTTATATTTACTTTATTTATGCAGCACATGGCAAAATCAGTCAAAATTCTTTACAACCCATCAAATCAAACGGGTCAGTACAAGGTTAAGGAAAAGGCTCTGTCCTCGCACACACTCAAACGTCTGGTTTGAATAACATGCTCACGTGCCCTCAATCATGACTGAGCTCTTACTGTAAGTGGAGAGATACTTTGGTAGTGAAGTTTGTGTTTGTGAGTGTGTGTGTGTGTGTGTGTGTGTGTGTGTGTGGCATGTGTTTATAATCCCTTTGTAGTGTCTGAATGTTGGCACCATCTGAGACTAAATACCAGAGACTATTTACGTCTCATGTCGCACTTTGATTTGAGAAATTACAAAACATTCCTCTGAAAAATAAAGGGATTTCATAATCACTCGTGTTCCTTATGTTTACACCATAAAGTTTTGTACGATGGATTCTAAATAAAGAGATTTTTTTTCAAAGTTTACTGTATTTTCGTCTTTTTTACTGCCATGTTTTTGAAGAACATGGAAACAGCAAGGCCTTGTCTCACTTTGTTTCCAGTGGATTTTCTTTGAAGCCTGAAACAACTGAGCGCCAGATACATTGTGGAGCTTTGAGATAAATTAGGAAGTGATCTCAGCTCGCAGTCAAAAAAGCTGTCGAGTGGAAGGAATGAGCTCAGATTCTCTGTAATACCTGAGTGTTTTACTCAGTCAGTGAACTTCTGCTGAAGTCAGGAAATCATTTCAGCATCAGTTATCTTCTACGCTGAGTCATAGTTACAAAGAACACACCCATCACGCTTTTATACATACGTGTTTTGCAATAGCGGCAAATTACACAATCAGTTTTTTGTTTTTGGTTTTACTTTGAGCTCCTCGGTACAGTCGTCTCCAATCATCTCTCATCGGGGGAATTCCTCTTTTAAATGTGAATACATCGCTCATTCTCCACCCGATTGCCTCCTCCACACTCTGTTATGCAGTCAGTGTTATGTAGCCGGCTAATAAGCTCAAACAGTTTGGGGCTAAGAGAATCTGACAGCTCTCACCGTCGGCCTGCAGTGGATGATCACACACACACACACACACACACACGGAGCACAAAAATGGGTGGACGGGGCTGCCTCAGACTCAGATAAACTCTACCTGCTGCCTTCGTGAACCTGTGAGAGGTGGCTGAACACCGTGTGACGTGGCCTCACATCCTGATCGGGTTATTACGACTGTTTGTTCAGAACTTTCAGCTAATTATTTCCACTGTTTATCCAGCGTGTGTGCTTGCAGGGTCCTTTTTCTCCCCTGTTAAATATTCTTACCTTCTGACTGTGTTCAGGTATTGTGTCCTTACATGTGAAAATGTCTGAGGTGTTGAAAAAATTGTTACGTCTGTAGTGTTCTGGGTCAAATCTGACCCAACAGAGAATATTAAAAAGAGTACGGATGGTACTGTGGATTAAATTTTAATGAAACTTGATTCCAACTCTTGTTTGAGTTGGGTTTGATCAATAAAACTACCCAGAATGTTTTATTGCTGCATGACCCACTGTTTCTGATGACTTGGTTTGATGAGATTTTTACAGGCGGGGTGAATGTGGTCTACGAACCACTAAATAACATTAATGGTTCGTTGTTGAACACTTAACGCCAACCAGTCAAGTTGCAGTTTACACTAATTCAGTATCTGACCAAATGTTTCCACTGCTGTTACTGAGCTATAATGTTGAATAATAAAAGTGTTTTTGCAGAACATTATGATGTCACATTGACCTTGACCTTTGACCTTTTGGATATTAAATGCCATCATTTTATTCGTTTAGACATTTGTGTGAAATTTCGTCACAATTAGCAAATTTTTGAGTTATGGCTAAAAAATGTGTTTTGTGAGGTCACAGTGACCTTGAATTTTGACCTTCCAAATCTAATCATTTCTTTTTCGAGTCCAAGTGGACATTTGTGCCACATTTAAAGAAACCAAGGCATACTGAGTTGAATTGTTTTAATTGTTTCACTAAGTATTTTGACTTTTCTGCTAGCTTATAGTGTTGTGGTAGACGAGATCGGTCTTGGTCAGGCTCAAGAACACTTCTGACTGCACTTTCAGTTCAGTTGTGTTTTGGTCTTGGACAAAGAGGTCTTGGGAGTTTATTATTTCAAGACTGGACAAGTTCACAACTGTGACATATTTGGTAAATTGCCCGTGCAAAAAAGGAGTGATGAGGAACGAGGGTTCAGTTAATTTTAGCACCTTAGTGTGCTTGCTTTGCTCGTGGTGTCTTTAATTTTATCAAGACGTGTCTCATCTTCATTTGTTTTCTACGGTTGTTTTTATGGGATGTGGATCTTGTGTTTTGATGTTTCACATTTTATCATGAGTGTGTCATGCAGTGTGGGACTCACACTGGTCTGGTGTTGACTTAGTCTTGATTCACTCCATTCTTGGTCATGACCTGTTCTTGGTTTTGGTGGTTTTGACTTTGACACTACAACACATGCTACAACTGACTCGTGTGTGTAGGGTGTCTCCTGCCTGTTGTCGCTGGTAGCTCATTTATTGTGACAATAAATTAACTAAAGATCAGTCACACAAATTTGTAATTCTATTTGGATGTTTATTTTTCTCGTAAACACAATTACAGGCGTATTAGGATTTATATATTTCCACATTAGCTGAGCGGCACATTAGTGGTTGTGATTCACTGGCCCTCACATGAACTTGGTCCACAAACACACATGTTTACAAGTTGCTTAATACGCTCACTGACACCCAAACTACTTTCACCCCGAGATCGGTAGATAGAACGACTTCCAGTAAATTAGTAGAAGCTTCAAACGGCAAATGACTTTCTTTCTGGTCACCAGTAACCAAACCTGAACTCTCCACCCCATTAAGAGCTCCACTTTTATCCATTTCTTCCCTTTGACTCTTTTCCGACTGCCGCCTCTCATTCCTCTTCATTTAAATTCTCCTCTCTCTTTGTGATTCTCGATGCTCTTTCATTGCCCGATCTTCCTCTCTATATTTACATTTATCATTTCAGGCATTACGCAGGGACTCTTAGCCTGGCTTAGAGCTTAAACCCACTGCAATTTATTCATCAGCTGCAAGATTACAAGTGCAAGGGATGAAACAGCAACAAGACTGGAGAATATTTAGAAACATTCCAGCGTCCCTGAGACATGAATTTATCTTTAAGAGAAAGGAAGACAGAAATGACATGCTGCCAAGCAATGAAGTAAATACAAATGTTGTTACACACACATTTCATCTCCCCCATGTACTCTGTCTTCCTTCCCACTTTTCTACAGTATTTGGTGTTACGGCAAGCAAGAGCGTAAACAAGCCCTTGCCAGTAAATTTAGGGGACGAAATTACAACCAGATGCACGAGTGCTCTCTTACATGACAAAACAGCAATGGCATTCTGGACACTGAGGACATAAACATTCACAAGAAACGAGGCGGAAGAGGAAGGAGCGGCACTGAGAGGTGTGTGCAGAGCAGACAGATCAATACGTGTGTGATAGAAATGAGACAAATAACTGAAATGCACTGAAAAAAGCTGTTGAAGTTAAAAATGTTTCTGTTTGACAGGACTCTGATGTGTGTGTGTTGTTTCCTATATCTCTAAGGGTTTGAGTGTTGGTTTGCGGACGTGTCTCATGTTGGCACCTGGCTGCAAGGGTTTGAAGGGGGCCTGGGCGCCGTAGGGTTTGGGCAGAGGGAGAAGGTCGGCCTGGGGGACGTACGCGTTGGGACGGGTTTCAGCTGTGGTGTACACTCCGTTAGGCAACTGGTTCCAGTCTTCTTCAGCCATCTGCGCACACACACACACACACACACACCAGAGGCAGTTTTAATATTTGATGTGAGACTGCATGACCTCAGACTAAATAGTGAAAATTTAATTGTCCTGAATTTTAATCATGAAAATGGAATCACTAATTTTGCAAATTTATTTATCTTATTTAACGTCTCAAGACAAATACAAGGGCAACAATCAACAGCTGAGTGCATGAGCCAAGAATCTCAACACTGATAAAAGATTACGATTTTTTTTAAAGGTGGCACGGTGGTGGTGGGGGTTTGAAACCTGGGTGGGGGAGCCTTTCTGTCCAGAGTTTGCATGTTTGAGACAGACAGAGCCTTTTCAGTGTCGGTGTGAGATGAACAGCTCAGTGTCAGATGTGTCAGATGTCAGGGCTATGTTGGACGGCAACAGCAGATAGTCAGTGATCAGCTGCTGCTTTGTCCCACCATCACAAATAGATTTTAATATTGTAGGAAACACTGAATGCTCATGATAATAAACTCCAAATCTGAGACAGTCTTGCAACTAACCTTTGCCTCCACCATTTAAGTGAAAATTTAAATGTATATTTGAGGTGCTTGCACTTTACTTGAGTATTTCCTTTTCATGCCACGGTATACTGTTACTCCATTACATTTCAGAGGGAAATATTTTACTTCACTACATTCATCTGACAGCTTTAGTTCTTTTACAAACCAAGATATTGCACAAAAAACACAAGAGTTTATAAATGATTAGTCAATTAATCCATTAGCCGACTGACAGAAAGTTAACTGCCAACTATTTTCATAAACATTTAAGTTGTTTTCTGCGTTGAGTACTTTTACTGTTCATACTTTAAGGACATTTTCCTGATCATACTCACTTACTTTTCTTTAAGTAACTTTTCAGTGCTTTTAACAGAGTACTTTCACAGTTTATACAGCAGGATTTGATCTTGTCTGGACTGAAATATAACCAAGACACAGTAAGGTGCACTTGCTCATCTATCTGACTGACAGGTTAGGATGCACAGATGACTTTGACACACCACCAGGATGTGAAGTGCAGAGAAACACACACTGAATGAAATTGTTTTTCTCAAAAGGCTTTTCTATCGGTGAAAATGTAGATTAAACAGGTGAGAACAAATATAATAAAACCAAAACATGGCTCTCAGGATCCTGACAGTGGCTGGCAAAATTAATTTAAAGCCACTATGGATGATGGATCAATTTGTAACCATGGTGGACTCCCGCTGAGAAAAAAACCCTTCTTCCAGTATGCACACGTCCTCATGACAGTACAGTCCTCCCTTTGACTTTCACCCCGCAACAGCATGCAAATGAACTGTGCCTAAATCTCACAGAGACTTCAAAGAGATGGCGATTTTCTCATGCATATGAACAGTTTATCCGCTGGCATGTGATCTGAGGAGTGCACACAAAACAAGGAATAATGGCTTTGAATGCAGAAAAAAAAGCAGGAAGTGCCAGAAAATAAACAGAAAAACATATTCTCCTTATCAGGTTGACAAAAGCTTGAACTGACTATTAATGATGAATTCTTAATCAGATGCACATCAGTTTGTGCAGGTTTCTTCTTGTGTTTTGGTTTGGCTCTGTGCACGTAGAGTATTGTGGTGTCATTCTGGGCTGGCAGCTATAAGCAGGAATAAACTGGGTGAGAAAATACAGATCGGTATAACAACAGACAGCTGGACTGCTTTCAGACACAACTGAATGTGTTTGTGTGCCTTTGTTGTGTAGACAGCCTCTACTTCTGTTTGTCTGCCGGTCTGCCCTCCTTGCCCTGTTTGTGCATGTGGTGGAAACAACCCTATATCCTGTCTAATCTCTGTGTGTGCCCAGAGTCTCTACTCACTTCTCTGTCTGAGTCTGTGCATGCTCAGGTGTACAGGAGCCCTTTTGTCCCTCAAAATCTTAATCGATTCCTGCCCTGTGTCGTGTCCCCGCTGCACTTCTTCTTTCTTTGTTACTCCATCTTCTCCTCTTGCCCCTCAGTACTTTAATCAATTCTTGACCAGTGATCTTTGTGTACGTCTGTGTGCTCCTTTACCCTCTCTCTCTCCTCTTTGTCCCTCTGTCTCCTCTTCTTGTCTCGCAGCATCCTCCTCCACTCCTCCTCTATCTCAGGGCATGGTGGCAGGCCCTGCTCCAGCTGCCGCTGGCACCTGTCCATCTGGAAACACAGAGGCAGTGGGAGAACCGTTCACTTTGTATTCCTATCACTCCGGCCACTCTCCTGGCTCAATTCAATTCTAACTGCGCCTGAAAACAGATGGTCGTATTACTGTCAGAATTTGGGCAAAGTTATGCCTCTGCATTTTCTGCTTCTACTTGTGTCTGTAGCGCGCTGCAGGCATACATCAGCTGTAGGGGCTCTTCAGATTATTAACGCGCGTCTCCTGAAACATTTAGAAGGCACGTGGGAAATCCTCTCGTTTTAGCAGTTTAATCTTTCACTGAGACAGAAAACTGTGAGACTTTCTGTCAAACCAGTGTCAGGATTTTACAATTTCTTGCTCTAATGATGATTTAGCTAATGGCTTTCTGCCTTCCTCAAGACTTACAAATTAGGACGATTTTGTCCGTGGCAGTTGATTATTTTTATTCTCCAACTCAACTGGAAAATGTTATAAAATAATGACAATATTATAATAACAGTAATGATAATGAGAGTGGTCGGTAGAATAAATTGTTAATGGCTGATATCAGTCAAAATCAAGTAAAATGATTGGTTTGGCATCACCTGTTCAAGGCCCAGTCCCTTTTACTAGTCTGGTGTCGCTACACCGCTTTTTAATAAAGTATATATAATCATCATCCTATTTATTTATTTATTTTTATCTTTTTAATCAATTTTATCTAGTTCCTCACCTAGTTTTCAATTTGTTACATTGCTAAAATATTTTTTGTCTTGTTTTTATTGTCTACACTTGTTCTGTCTTATCATCCACTTGTCAGTCATCTGTGAAACTTTAAACTGCGCTAACCTACATGAAAGGTGTCTTATAAATAAAGTTTGATTGATCGACTCAAAGGAACAGGCGTATTTCTGCACGGTGATGTGGTTGGCAGGTGTAATTTGATAGACAGAAAATAGATCCCTTATGAAACTGCAGGTAGCAAGGTCTGTGGATTGTCTTGAATAACCATTTCTGTCGTTTGAGGTTTTCAAATGTATTTTTGGCGCTTTAAGCACCACAAGCCGAGTGCCATCTTGTTCCATCATATTCAAGAGAGGGCAGACATCTCTATGGCTGATATCTCCAACACTCAGCAACTCACACCAAAACAATCTAGACTGAGAAATAGCACTACAGGTAAGAGGAAAAATATGTATTTTTGATTTTGGGGTGACTCTTTAAAGCTAGACTAGCTGTTTAGTTTACAGATAGCAGACAGATAATGAAAAGGTTTCACACACTATAATAGCATGGCTGTGCAGATATGGATTTAGCTTGTAGATAAGCAGTAGTATAAATGACAAATACAGCAGTAAGCTAAAAAAAAAGCAACAGAATAATGTGACACACCTACTTGTAATATTTGATCAAGTTAAGACTGTTCAGAGGTGAACTTACTGTCAGTGAAACCTGGAGTCTCTTGAACACAGGTATAGGCAGACAGCTAGTTAAGTAAACTGGCTTTTATATTTCTGTTAAAATGTTGCTAATGTTAACAACAATGGTACTGGTTGCTATGGATACAGAAATTGCTAATGGGCTGCTAGTGCTACTTTTTAGTTCCTTCTCAATCTTGGACAACAATCTCACTACAAGGTCCAGACAGTCAGCTGCTCGTCTGGAGCTTTCCATCTTAACCTCTGAGTCAACACGGACGAGAAGTGCTCAGAAAAACATGTATGTTTCCATGACAACCAAGAAACTCCATGTGCTGAGGATGATACAATCGAAAGCGCCAGGATGATAACGGTACACCTTGTAGGTGGGATTGTTGTTGTCAAACAACATAGATTCTGCAGCAGATACAACCTGTTTAAAAAAACATTTTATCACTGTATCCTTATAATCCCCCTGAAGTGTTCAGTTAATGAAAATTACTATTGAATGTTCTTTTGTCTCCATGTTTGCCTCTTCATCTGTTTTACTGTCCAAATAAGCAAAGTTAATGGGTTTGAGGTGAAAGGTGGGGCACAACGAGGAATTATTGTTGAGTCACATTTTGCTCTCTTCGATCGCGGCCAGTGGAGAGTGACAGGAATAATAGGAAAGACAGTGGGAGGCTGCGGGGAGAATGTGCATCCAAGATCACAGTTTGGCCTCCAGAATCACACTGTCTTGGGTACGTGGTTTGTGCTGAGAGTGACTGGGAACGGCTCTGACCTGGAGCTCTTTCTCTTTGATCTCTTGTTGGAGAGACAAAGCAGCAGCTTGCTTCATGGAAAGTTCCGCAGAGACGGCCATCAGGCGGTGGTTGGTGTCGATTATGTGAGTTCGGAGCTCGTTCAACTGGAGCCATACAACACACACACACACACACACACACACACACACACACACACACACAGAACATAGATTAGATCAATTATACACTGATTCAACACGCATTTCAATACAGGATTAAAGTATGTATCTTAAAAGCAACGAGGCTGAATGATTTGTTTTTCCTATTGTGCTCCTGCTCTTTGATTTTGAGTGGCAGTATAGTTATTACACTCTTTCTGGAAAGTTACGGGACTTCCTGCTTTTGAAATATCTGCATGTTTTGTCATGACTGACTGAATGACTGGTCCTTTCACTGAATGATTCATTTGGCATTCACAAGTGAGGCTTTTCAAAAGCATAAGAGTTGAAACAAAAATCCTTTCAAAGTCTTTCGAGTGACGATTGTGGCCAAAGGTATGTGGGCACCCAAACAGTCTAGCAAAGAAATCACCTCCTGAGAAGAGCCGATCTACCTTCAAGGAGGCTGAGAACATAAATCCCATACAGTTGTGCACATTGGAGATTAAATAGTATTATGCATAGTACATTGGGAGCACATGTTTTTTTACAGTTCTGATACATCTGACATGGCACTTAAAAACACTAAGATCCTGAAAGCTAAATAAACACTGATGCCTTATATCAGTCAAAATTTGTCACTCAGGGTAATTAAACCAAAATCTGATGAATTTCATGCTACACTGTCTACTCACAGTATTTTTAATCCTCATATGACCAACTGTGTGATAACACAACCATCTTGAGTTGGCATATGTGAGTGCTTGGGAAGCCATCCACTCCATATGCTGAGGCGACATAAGACCTGGCCCAAAGTCAGTGATCTAAATCATTCCAAACATGCTGGATGGGATGGAGGTCAGGGCGAAGGCCAGTCAACTTCTGCAACACCAAACTCAGAAATCCATTCATTTAACAACCTGATTTAAAAACTGAGGTTGGAAGTTTAATTTTTGCATCATTATGCAAAAATACCACAGTAACCTTAGAGCATATTGTAATTCAAGTAGACTAAGAGAAAACTAGACTTCTGCACCTCCTCTTGGCTCTGTTTTCAGGTGTCAGAAATTCTATAATGTGACAAGAGACTTTGGCCAGGTCATTTCACAGAGGGCGATCCTATTGGCTGTTCTATGAGTACAAATGTGCATGCACCTCCCTTCAGATGGTAAAAGCTTGATTCAATGGCAGAAGATCGTGCAGAGAAAGTTGATATTCCAGTACTGGCAACAACTGCCTCCACTGCAACGCAACCCAGAAAAAAGGACGCCATTTCAGTATCGACAAAGTGTTTCACAAATGGAGAGAAAATGTTAGCTAATTGTTTAGCCTTCTGCTAACTGAAGCTAAAGGCTCATAGCTGCCGCTAATTCAAGCTCATGTTTATGAAGCCCACGTTTAGAGCCTTGAATCATAGTGTGTCATCTCAAAAGGATTTGGACTGAACCCTTTTCAAGCACTGTAATTCTCATAGAATTGCCGCTATCCTTAATGGCACTGTGATCACACTCATGATCTGAATGACTGAGACAAAGGACTCGCACAGCTTTCTGTAGAAAGCGCTTGCATATGCCTGTGCTTGTCTGGTGGGATGGGTTTAAGGCAGAGAGCAGAGAGCTGTAGGAGGTATTGTTATATTATGATACACATAAGATACACATATGATTTAATTTAGATCTGTCTAGTTACAAAATGGTGATGCTGTACATTACAGTGCCAAATCTTCATTCATACCATTAATACACATGCGTCCACAAGTTTTAACGTGTATTGAGCCTTGTTCTTGAGGCTATTAATAGTTAGTGTGGGAGAGAGGAAAGACAAAGAGAGAGACAGCACAGTGCCAGCACAAGGAGAATGTAATGCTCGGTGAACTCCTTAATGCCCACTCTGCGTGCTGCTCACATGGACAGCACACGCTCCTCAAACAATGAGTGAGTGTGTTTGTGAGAGAGAGAGCTAAAAGACCAGACTCACTGGGAAGTAACAGGTGAATGATATAACAAGTAACTTGGAATGTGTGTGTATTGTGTTCGATCTGTGTGCGAGTGGATCTTCCTATCTACCTTCTTAGCCAGTGATAGTCTGTCCTGTTGGCAGTTCTCAGCCTGCTCACTCAGTGGCTTCAAGAGCCGGGTCACCTGGTCCACAAGGAGTTCTTTTTCCAGCAACCGCCTTTCCTTCTCTGCTAGATTCACCTCCAGCTACACGCAAAGACACACAACAATTATGGTCATTTTATTCATGAATTTTCACCACAGCAGATGTGTGTGTTATAGTTGTCATAAAAGGTAAACATGACCTAAATTCATTAAGAAGATACCATGTACTGGGCTGAGTTGCAAATACATGCAAATACGTAATGATTGCACACACCAATACCCACAGAGACAACTTGTAATGTTGTTGTTACCTGCTCGATCTTCTTAACCACTTCTGCAGTTGAGGGGTCTTTGCCTTTTAGCTCTCTGTAATCAACTGTTCGATTCAGACCCTCAAGTGTCTTGTCGCTGGCTTCCGACAGCTGAGACAGAGAATTAAGAGACAAAAACAAGGCTAGACTACACAAACACAGTGGCAGAATTTCAGTGTTAGTACTACTGGATTTCAGTGCTGCATTCGACATGGTTGACCACAACATATAACTAGACCAACTGGAAAACTGGGTGGGACTTTCTTGTATAGTAATAAACTGGTATGAATCCTGCTTAAAGGACAAGGACTACTTTGCATCTAAAGGTAATTAAACATCTGAGCAGACAAAAATGACATGCAGAGTTCCCCAAGGCTTCATTCTGTTCTTAACATCTACATACATTCACAAGCTTGTTCCATGGAAGTTTTTTTTTAGAGAAAAAACAACAAAATATGTCACCATAATAAAGCAGATGACACACATATTAACATAAGCATATCCCCAAACGACTATGGTCCTATACAAGCATCAAGTATGTGCATTACAGTTAGGTATCGGCACTCGATACCTTTAAAGTACCAACCAAAATAACCCAGTACCAAAGAGTATCATAACTTCCCTAGTCATACGATATTGCATTTGGTGCTTTTTGTTCCCAGATCTGAAAAAAGACTACTTGTACGGTTTTGCACAAGCACTCTTTGATGTGATGTGACCTGTGATTTGCCCACTACCACAGCAGCTACAACCCATACAGTCTGGGGTGTGGTGAAATTAAGCGCTGTGTATTTGACATTACACAGTAATGGCATTTCAGCGTGCTGAGATGCCACCTAAATGTTGGAAAGTAAGGCTACATTCCCGTGGCATCTCGTGGCATTTTAAGCAACTGAATGTTGCCATCTATATGATCAAGATTTTTTCTATGATACCCAGCCCTATTGTTCATTGAACAAATCAACAGTTGGATGTGCCACAAATTGTCTTTGGAGCCAAGGAGGATGATTAAAAGTCAGCACTCAGCTTAAATTGAATTGCCGATGTTAAAAACTACCAACCAAGCCAGGAATCTTGTTGTAGTCATGGACTCAGGCCTGAATTTCAACAGCCACATTAAGACAATTACAGGCAGCCTACTATCATTTTAAGGATTAAAAGAGTTACATCTCAGCAGGATTTGGAAAAAACTTCAGTAGACTTTACCACTCTAACTGTGTCTTTACACATCTGACTAAAAAAGTTGATCAGACAGCTGCAGCTGATTCAGAACGCTGCTACTTGAGCCATGACTGAGACCAACAAAGTGGATCACATCACTCTAATTCTGAAGTCTCTACACTGACTTCCTGTCTCTCAGAGAATCAAATTCAAAACAGTTTATGAAGTGCTGAATGGTTTAGGACCAAACTATATTTCTGATCTTCTGATACAGGTTGTCTGAGACAGGTCTGCTTTGTGTCACCAGAGCCAAAACTAAACATGGCGAAGCATTCCGTTTTTAAGAACCATATTTCTTGAACAAACTCCTAGTTTTGCTGCAACTCTTGATTCTTTTAAATCAAGGCTGAAGACTTTTCTTTTTGCTGCTGCCTTTAATTAAATTAAGTATTCATTAATTTCTTACACTACACTGTAATGTTTATTCTTGTATTTAAGCTTGTTTTATTTCATATTCTCTTTGTCATTAATGACTGTTTTTCGCTGTATTTAAATGTTCTTTTATTGTGTGTTTCTTTTGCACTAAAATGTGCTGTATAAATAAACTTGGCTTGCCTGATTAAGGCCTGTATACTGCTCATATAGGCCAAACTCCTCAAGTCACTGTCATTGAGGTCTACTATAGTAATGAAAAAGCAGTTATTTCCCACAAGAGCACCCTTCACACAAATGAATAAGTAAACAACATGAAAAGCAAGAACTCTAGAATTAGACAGCTACTGTCTGTGTTTCGAGAGCCTGGTACTCCAGTCATTTGAGATCCTATTGCACTGGGGATTTTAAAAAACGCTTATGACATTTGTCAGCTAAATGTAGTGCCTATATGGGAGCTGCTTCACACTAGGTGTCAAGTCACTGGCAAAGTGTGATAAAAGAAACCAAAATCTAAAACGCCACTGGATCCCTCTAAGGGACACTTTTTTTTTTAATACTCTGACATCCCTTAAGACAGCAGAAATAGAAGTGGAGGTAAGGATGCACAAGAAAGGATAAAGATGAGTTAGAGAGAGACAAAAGGCAGGCAGGCAGGAGGACAAGAGAAGACATTGACATTAAGTGAGGGGACTGTGAATGCATTTTAGATTCAGGTCCTCAACCAGCATTCTTATTCTGAAACAGCTGCAGTTTAGTGTGTGAGAGGATTAGTGTGCCGCGCAGTTAAAATATGAAATGCTGACATGATTTCCTGCTTAACTGTTTCGATGAATGGAAGAAAACTGACATCTGTTACGTGATTCAAAGGTACCCTGTGGAGTATTTGACAGTTGCGCTGTGGACAAGTCTTTCAACAATGGTAAACCCAGAAGAACAGTCAGTACATCACTTATGTTGTTTGTCCAGGCTTTGTTCAAACATAAAAGTAGTTCAAATTCTGTGGAGATCCCAAAGTTTTGAAAAGATACCAAATATGTCAGGCTGAATTTTGGGAAAATGTTTATAAAAGTTTACCCAAGATGTCAAGGTACAGCCAGAAAAACCCAAAACACTGGAGTCCTGTAAATACAGCTCATATAGCAATGAAGAATTGGCTGGTACTTAGAGGGGAAATGAAAAGAGAGTCAATGTTAAGGGGTTAATTGAATAAACTGCTTGCTCTGACCAACAGTCCAAAAAGAAGGCTTCAAATCACTCCAAAAAACTTTTCATGAAGAGGATACGGGCTGATTGCTGCACTTGGATTCACCTGGCCAGTCGGAGCAGTTCTTTTTAATATTTGCTATTTAATGAAGATTATGAAGTCAAAGACAAAAAAGAAGTGGCCTCTTAACCTGTGCAGGGACTGCTGGTGGGAATAGGCAATTAAAGTAGCTACAGTCTCTCAACAGAGAAGTTAAAACAAATGCTCAATGGCCCCATTACAGCAAAATAAAGATAGTCTATATATAAAAATATGAAGCTGAGATGATCAAGGAACCATGACAGGGACCATACTCTAAATGGGACATAAGCAGAAAATAGAAAACACAGATCAGATGAGAAAATATGAATAGATGCCTGGAGAGAAAAAGACGGATATAAGCGAAGAGGAAATGATTGGATAGGCAGCAGAAAGTAAAGAGCGGACTGGGGAGGAAAAACAGGGTGTGAAAAAATGTTGCACACAGGCGGTCTGACCTGCTGTGACCTGGCTTATGAAACAGCAGCGTCTCTCCACTCAACCATACAGCGTGTGTGTATATGTGTGCGCACCTGTGCATGTTTACCTGCCTGTATCTAATGTAAGAAATGATGTGTCAGGCTTGAAAGACAGCATGGAACAAAGTGATGATTCCCATTTTCCCTCCCTTCACGGAAGAGATTAATGAAGCCTCTGCAAACAGACAGTGAGTCTGATTAAAACGGACTGCTCCCTCAACGTCATATGACTCAAGTTTTAATTTATTAGTATGACTGTCATGTGATTAACTGAGGTGTTTGTAAGGCTAATGTTACAGATGCTCCAGAGGGAGAAAAAAGTTAAGAGGCTGACAACAATGACGGCAAGCATCTGAGAAGCGGAGATGGAGATGAGAGTGGAGCAGATGTACATGGAGAGACTTATAAAAGGCTGACAAATAGAGGAAGATACAGTGAAGGGGAGCGAAGGAAAAACAGCATGAAGTCCAGAGTGAGGAAAGGAGGGAGGGATAGGATGTGAAAGCAGACAAGAAAGACAGAATCAGAAGGAGACAGGAGATGCAGAGAAACAGGAATTGGGGCTGACCAACAGGGACTGAGGTTATCTTGAGTTTTTACTGCAGACATGACTTCAACAAGAAAACATTGTTCATGGTGTACGGAGCTGAATGCATGATAAGTGCATTTTCAAACCAAAACTAAGCAACAAAGCAAGCATAATGATCTTACTTCCTGCTGAACTTGCAAATGAAGGGCACTAAACTGTAAATGATCATAGTGACACTACAAATTAAAGCTGGACTGAATTTGAATTGTTCACACTTTCATGTGTAAAGAAGAGTATAACACTGCAGCGACAGCAATTTGCATATTTTTTACATCCATTTAAAATGAATAAAATAGGGTCCAGTTGTGCTGATGGTAAATGACCAGTTAATGACTGAAAACTCACAGAAACCAGTAGCCTTGTCCTGTAGCCTCAGCTCTCCGTATATTAGCAGTTAAAGGAATAGTGAGACATTGTGAGAGATACTGTTATTCTCGGTCTTGGCAAGAGTTGGGTGAGAAGATCAATAATGTACCACTCTCACATTTGTGTGATAAATACTAAGCCACTGCCATCAGCAACCTGAGTACAAAGAGTTCCTGCTCCTGCCCAAGAAATAGTCTGGAACATCATCCAACTATAAAGTCAAAGTGTTGTCTTCACACTCCTGGAAGTGGATTTTGTACAAACTTCTTTTGGAAAATTACGACAGCCATGAATTTAACTGCAGTCAGCATCGAGAGCACCTGGGCATTGGCCAAAGCAGCGACTTGACATAGGCTACACAATAATTTTGGCTGGGATTACAATCATGTTTAGAATAATGTTACTATCTGCAATGTTTCTATATTGCATTTGAACAACTGACTCCATTATACTAACTAGCTTGCCCTTTGCAAGTTAATTTATCAGCTAATATTATGAAGCAGCCACCGGCAGGTTCATGCTGCCGACCGAGCTACAGCTTCCTGACTAGCATTAGCTTACGGTTAGCTCATTGGCTGCTGAGCTGTAACCACTACACTGGATGGATCCATCATTATTTGCTTTGTGACGTTAGCTGATAAAGTAATTTGCATACCAGCCCCTGAAGTCTGGATGAATCAGCTGATGTTATCCACTCAATTCCCTATTTTGCTATGTTAGCTAGATAGCAATCCATCTGCATCAGCAAGCAAGCTAATGTTAGCTAGCATTAGCCAGCTAAATTCCCCAAATCACAATA